AACCAAGATTACTCTACCCAGCAAAGCTATCATTTAGAATTGAAGATTGGATAAAGAGCTTCATAGACAAGAAACCGGTATTACATTAAATGTTTAAGGATATTCAAGGAGGAGGAAGACGAAGGCAAGGAAGAGAAGAAATATGAACAATAAAATGGCAATAAATACATACATATCAACAATTGAATCTAAATAGCAAAATAAATGAGCAAGGAATCTAATGAACAAAACAAACTGGTAAATAAAATAGAAGCAGAGGCATGAAAACAGAGGACAGACTGATGAATCTCAGAGGGAAGGGGGCAGGGGAGGTGGGGAGAGGTTAACCAAAGACCTTACATGCATATATGCGTTACCTATGGACACAGACAATAGGGTGGGGTGGGGTGGGAACCAGGTGGAAGGAGCCAATGTGTGTGTGTGGGGTATCTGTCACACTCTCAACAATAGAGTAAATAGGAAAAGGGAGGGTACTGTATATGAAAACCCTTTGTAAGCATGGAGGCCATTTTACACCGAGGACATGCTAAGTACAGAGCTTGGATTCGTGTTGTCCAGGAAAGCACAGTATCCCTCTTAGCGCTGTTTCTAGAAAATAGTTCTCTGCAGTTGCTACTTCAGAGCTACCCTCTAGTAGGGTTTCTCTTTTCTGTTGGCTGCCCAGGGGCCCAGAGATGAATTTGGGACTCTCCTACACCAAGGTTGCAGATCCTTCTGGCATTTCTTTTTTTTTTTTTTATTTTTTTTATTTTTTTATTTTTTTTTTTATTTTTATTTTTTAAAATCAATCTTTATTGTTCATATTATTACAAAGGTTCCTCATTTCTTCCCCCCTCCACCAGGTTCCCACCCCACCCTCCGTCCCCCCCCATCCCCCATTGTCCTCATCCATAGGTGCAGTTTATGTTCAGTCTCTTCTTCCCTCAATTTCCCCAATAGTAAATCCCTTTTCAGATAGTAAATCAGTTACTTAGCATTTTCTCATATCAATAATACCTCCACATGCCCAATGATACACTTCACACAAAAGACATTTCCCACTAGGTCAACCAGCCTCATCCAGGCCCCACCCAAGGCACTCACAGATCAACACCCCAGTCCTAAACTAACTCAACACATCCAGATCTAAGCCTTCATCACTTGATTCAGCAGACCCTCAAGTTCCCACGAAAGTTTCCAGCCATGTCTGAGAAGCAGCCGTGGGGCAGGGGCAGGCAAGGAGCGAGCTGTTCTGGGCCTGGCTGCTCAGGGCCTGGCCTCTGTTGCTCTGGTTCATTCCACAACCAGCTGCTCTGGGTCTGGTCACTGCCGCTCCCGACCTAGTTGCTCTGGACTTGGCTGCTGCTCCCCCGGGCCTGGCCGCTCCCAGCCTGGCAGCCGCTGCTCCGGGCCTGGCCGCACCCGACCCGCCTGCTCCCCCGGGCCTGGCCGCTCCCAGCCTGGCAGCCGCTGCTCCGGGCCTGGCCGCACCCGACCCGCCTGCTCCCCCGGGCCTGGCCGCTCCCAGCCTGGCAGCCGCTGCTCCGGGCCTGGCCGCACCCGACCCGCCTGCTCCCCCGGGCCTGGCCGCTCCCAGCCTGGCAGCCGCTGCTCCGGGCCTGGCCGCACCCGACCCGCCTGCTCCCCCGGGCCTGGCCGCTCCCAGCCTGGCAGCCGCTGCTCCGGGCCTGGCCGCACCCGACCCGCCTGCTCCCCCGGGCCTGGCCGCTCCCAGCCTGGCAGCCGCTGCTCCGGGCCTGGCCGCACCCGACCCGGCTGCTCCCCCGGGCCTGGCCGCTCCCAGCCTGGCAGCCGCTGCTCCGGGCCTGGTCTGGCATTTCTTTCTACTCACTTTCCTGACTTACCTGGTTCGATTCATTTTCTCATTATTTACACCACCTTGTATTTTATATATCTCTGTCTTAAATTCTTGAGGGGACAAAGCAGGCCACAAGTAAGTACATACCGTTACACAGAAACACTATTTTGTGAAAGATGGGACAGAGGGCCGGAGACCAGGACACAGGCTTTATTTATTTTTTATTTTTTAAATATATTTTTTATTAAATTATTATTTTTGTACATATGACAATGCCAGGCTTTATTTTTTATTTTATTTTTTTAAAAATATATTTTATTGACTTTTTACAGAGAGGAAGAGAGAGGGACTGAGAGTTAGAAACATTGATGAGAGAGAATCATCGATCAGCCGCCTCCTGCAAATCGCCTACTGGGGATGTGCCCGCAACCAAGGCACATGCCCTTGACTGGAATCGAACCCGGGACCTTTCAGTCCGGAGGCCGAGGCTCTATCCACTGAGCCAAACCGGCTTCGGCGACACAGGCTTTATTTGGGGAGAAGGACCCCTGCGGGGCTGCCTCGCAAGGAGCGAAAGCACACGTGCAGAGGGGAACTCGCCTTTTGAGGGGAGAAAGGGGAAGAGGTGGGGCTTAGGGTACTCCGCACGCGCTGATTGGTGGTTTCCTATAAGGCACATGGTTAGGCACTTAGGTACTTAGGCATGGGGAGCTTAGGGTATCTGGCAGGTGCTGGTTGGTGGTTCAATGTACAGTCCATATAAGGTGCAGGAATGTCCAGGCCGCAGGGGCAGGTTACATCATGCTCGGTCCATCGGTTGGGGGAAGGGAGGGTCTATCATTTTGCATGCCGTTGTTTTGTGTACTTGAAAAGTCATGCTGAAACCGGTTTGGCTCAGTGGATAGAGCGTCGGTCTGCAGACTAAAAAGTTTCAGGTTTGATTCCAGTCAAGGGCATTGGTTTCGGACACATCCCCAACCAGCTGCCTCCTGCAACAGTGGGGAGTGTGCAGAAGGCAGCTGGTTGATGGTTCTCTCTCATCATCGATGTTTCTAGCTCTTTATCCCTCTCCCTTCCTCTCTGTAAAAAAGTCAATAAAAATATATCTTTTTTTTTAAAAAAAAGTCATGTTTGGCTGAAACTGGTTTGGCTCAGTGGATAGAGCATGGACCTGTGGACTGGAGGGTCCCAGGTTCGATTCTGATCAAGGGCATGTACCTTGGTTTCGGGCACATCCCCAGTAGGGGGTGTGCAGGAGGCAGCTGATCGATGTTTCTAACTCTCTATCCCTCTCCCTTCCACTCTGTAAAAATCAATAACATATATTTTTTAAAAATAAAAATAAAAAGCCATGTTTGTGACTCACAAGTCATAGTGAAATACAATAAAATCCTACCTGAGCCGAGACCGGTTTGGCTCAGTGGATAGAACGTCGATTGACGTGAACCAGGGAGGAAAAGGAGAGGCTGGGGGGCAGGGGGGCGGGGAATGGACCGACTAGGACTGAAAGGTCCCGGGTTCGATTCTGGTCAAGGGCATGTACCTGGGTTGCGGGCACATCCCCAGTAGGGGTGTGCAGGGGGCAGTTGATCGATGATTTTCTCTCATCGATGTTTCTAACTCTCTGTCCCTCTCTCTTCCTCTCTGTAAAAAATTAATAAAATATAAAAAAAATCCTACCTGAGATGAATCACAAGGAGGGGCCCAACACGCGCCCGGCTTGTGAAGAGGGTCCCCGCAAATGCCAATTTCATCAGAAATTCACCAGACACGCAGAGGCATTCGTGGCTGCTAGGGTCTGCTGGAGGGATTCAGCCTTACCGCAGCTCTTTCCTCCTGCGTCTTTGCCAGAACAGTTCGGTACCTGGCTAACCAAGGGGAGGGCAGGAAGGGAGGAGGCCGTGAGGCTCGCGGGCCTGTGAACCAGGGAGGAAAAGGAGGGGCTGGAGGGGGGGGGGCGGGGAACGGACCGACTAGAATTGGGCAAGAAGGGTCCCAGATCAAGGGACCCTTCTATTTCTCTCTCCCTCTTTGAAATCAATTTAAAACAACCACCACCACATTTTGTTTAAACCACAATGATGTTTAAATTGATTTCAAAGAGGGAGAGAGCAATAGAAACATCAATGATGATAACCATTTTTTTCCGACCGCCTCCTGCACGCCCCCTTCTGGGGGGTCGTGCCCGCACCCTGGGCATGTGCCCGCAGGCAGGCCCTCTACCCACTGAGTCACGCCGGCCAGGACTTGTTGTTCTTTGAAGATGGAGAGACAAGTCCGATCGCCCGCGGAGGAGGAGGAGGAGGCCAGGTCCCCGATAGAGGCTGGGAGGAATGGAGAGCCGCACGGGCCCCGGGAGCCGGGCGGCAGCCGCCCTGCAGGGCGCGCCCCGGTCCAGAGCGCGGTGCGCACCGGCCCCCGCACCCCGGAAGGGAGCCGGGAAGGGAGCGGGGAAAGGAGGGTGCGCCCGCTCCCTTTGCCCCGGAGGGGGCGCTGACCCTGCCGTCCAGCCTCCCGGCCCCGGGCCAGCCGGAGGTTTGCATAAACGGTCGAACCCGCGCGCTCCCCCGCGGGCAGGCCCCCTTCTGTGAACTCGGACCTTGATTGTTCTAAGATGGAACAATCAAGGTGTCCTCTAGAGGCTGGGAGGGGACCGCGCGGGCTTCCTTCCGAGCTATGTTTGTGAGGCTCGGAAGGAAGAGGGGGCCGCGCGGGCTTCCTTTCGAGCCACCCGGGCGCGCGGTTGGAATCCCCGCGCCACGTCCTAGCGCATCTCCCCCGCGCTGCCTCAGTTTCCCTTTCCCAAAAGTGGAGCCGCTAATGGGACTCCCCTCTGGGGGCTGTTGTGACGAATCCACGGCACCGCGTCAACAAAGCGGCCAGCGCGGAGCCAGCACCCGGTGCCCGCCCCGGGGTGCGGCCTCTCCCCGCGCCTCTCCGGCTCTCCACGGGGCGCGCCGGGCGGGTGTGGCCGGGGGGCGGAGTGGAGGCTGGGGCTCCCCAACGCCCGCGCGCAGGTGTGGACGTGCCGGCGCCGAGCTGGGCTCCCCGACAGACCCAGAGGGGGGCGGGGTGGTGGTGACGTGGGACTGGGCACCTGCCGAGCTCTCCGGGCCGCCTCCGCCCGCCCTGCCTCCAGGATTGGCTCTCGGTGCCCGGCGGGGCTCCATCAGGCCTTGCCGAGGCGGCGCGGTGGCTCAGGATGGCCGCGTGCGGGTGAGTGTCCCGCGGGCGCGGAGAAGCGGGAGGTCAGACGTGGCCGGGCGGGCGCGCCGTCGGAGAGCGCCGGGCGCGGGGGCCCGAGGGCGCCGGGGCCGGGGAGGCGATGGTGGTCTCCAAATTCCGTCCAACCCGCGTCCCCCTCCCCCTCTTCTGTTGAAAAATTCGACGTAGAGGCTGCCTCTCGTGCCCGGGACTGTGGAGAGGCGCCTTCGGAGCGCAGGACTCGGGTCTCCGGTTGGAGCCCCGAGGCTCTGGCTCAGGAGGGCCGGGGCCTCTTTCCTGGCCCGGAGCCGATCCGGGGAGGGCTCTGGACCGTCGGGGAGCCGAGGCTGCGTCCCTCCCGCCGTTTCCCGAAAACACCGGGTTTCCAGGTCCACGCGCACCGCCTCCGCGCAGAGCGAGCCCCCGGCTGCGTGTCCGGAGCGCTGCGGAGCCCCCACGGGCGCGGACTAGTTAACGGAGAAGGGAGACGTGGGGTCTGCCTTCACCTTTATAAACTCCCCGTGTGTGCCTCTCTACCCCCAAAGTTTCGTTCCCTTTTATATTTCCACGCTAGAACAATCATTGAGCACAAGGAAGTCATCTCCTAAAAACCTGGTGAGATGAGGTTGGATTTTTGCCTGTGGCCGAGGGAACAGGAAGGGAACGGAAAAAGTGACTCCCAGAAGGGAGGCCGAGTCTGGTGTTCTTTTTTGTTTTTGTTTTTGTTTTTGTTTTGTTGCTTTATTGGCTTATATGTCCTAGTCTGGTGCTTTCGAAGCATTAAAACAAAGCACAATGGATCAATTGGACAGCTGGACTCATGCACAAAAGATCCGGGATTAGTTAATGATTGCTAACTTTCTGTATCATCTTAAAGCTGCGGGCGGGTGTGACCTTGGGGAAATGAAGTTCCTCCCTGCGAAGTAACTACTTTTATTTGTTCGTTTGTTAATTCTCACCTGAGGATTTTTAAAAATATATTTTTTATTGATTTCAGAGGGGATGGGAGAGAGATAGAAACATCAGTGATGAGAGAGAATCATTGACTGGCTGCCTCCTGCACACCCCACACCTGTAACCCAGGCAAGTGCGCCCCCACTGCAGTGGACCTGTGACTTCTCGGTTCTAGGTCCAAGGTCAATCACTGGGCTATGCCGGCTGGGCAGCCCGAGGATATTTTTTCATTGATTTTCAGAGTGTAAGGGAGGGAGGACAGGCGGGGTGAGGGGGAGGAGAGAAAGAGCTTGATTGGCTGCGTCCCTCCTGCACATGCCCCAACTAGGGCTTAGAATCAAACTTACTACCAAGGTGTGTGACCTTGACTGGGAATCCGACCCGTGACCCTTCAGTCCGTGGATGGACGCTCTAATCACTGAGCAAGACCAGCCAGGACCAAAGAAACTTCTATTAAACTTGCCTTTGCTTCTACGTTTACCTTTTCATTCAAAAATGTCTGGATTTAAAATGGGTACATTCTGTGCCCATTTATTAATTGGTGTCTGGGTGTTTTTCTCATCAATCAATTAAGATTAGATCTCTGCCGAAACTGGTTTGGCTCAGTGGATAGAGCGTCGGCCTACGGACTGAAAGGTCCCGGGTTCGATTCTGGTCAAGGGCATATACCTTGGTTGCGGGCACATTCCCAGTGGGGGGTGTGCAAGAGGCAGCTGATCGATGATTCTCTCTCATCAGTGTTTCTAACTATTCCTCTCTCTTCCTCTTTGTAAAAAAAAAAAATCAATAAAATAGATTTTAAAAAATAAATAAAATAAAAAAGATTAGAGTCAAAACCGGTTTGGCTCAATGGATAGAGCATCGGCTTGGGGACTGAAGGGTCCCGGGTTCAATTCAGTCAAGGGCAAGTACCTTGGTTGCGGGCATATCCCCAGTGGGGGGTGTGCAAGAGGCAGCTGGTCGATGACTCTCTCTCATCGATGTTTCTAACTCTCTATCTCTCTCCCTTCCTCTCTGTACAAAATCAATTAAAAAAAAAAAAGATTAGATCTCTAATCTCGTAATAGTCCAAAGACATTTTAATTTCAGTATTGATTTTCAATGTGCAGACATTTTTGAAAGTTCAGATGCAGAAAGAAAGGTAAAGCACACAGGAATGATGAGACCCCCTTTCTAGGCAAAAATAATTATAATAATAACAAAAAAAAAATCGAGGCTATTAGTTAACTGGCTTCCGCAGGGAGCTGGAGGTCAGGGCCAGCTGCTAGGGAACAGGAGTCCCTCAGGACAGCAAGGACCACAGTCTTCTTACTCAGGACTAGACGGCCTTGCAGTCTCTGCCTGGCCCCCAGGCTGTGTCTGGACTAGGAGAACTAACTGCGTGGCAGCGCTAATCGGCTGCTCCTGGCTGGAAGGTGGAGTGCTCCTCAGCTGGCACTGATGCCTGGCTCATTTCCTTATTTCTCGCTGGCTTTATAAATGGGACTTTGGCTCTTTCTTGAATGTTTCTCAAACATGGTCCAACCAGAACAGCAGACCCATACAATTATAATTTTAACACCCCCCACGTAAGCACAAAAACGGTGCAGTTTTACCACTGTGGAACATTTGTCGTTATCTGATGAAAATCCGGCCTTTGGACATTTTATGTGGCATTCTTTACCCACACAATTCCTGTTAATGATTGCATTAAAATGCTGTCCTTAGCTAGAACCAGATTTGATAAAGAAGAACTCCAAGCCGAGACAGATCTGATCACTGATCACATGGTCAAACTTGTCTAAAAGTAAATATGTCTCTTTTTTTTTTTGGCCAGTGCTTCTATAACTTGATTACCTCAAACACACCTATCTTTTTCTGAATACCACTCCGGAAAATCAGATGTTACAGAAATATATAGCAAAGTAGTGAAAATTCCACCTAAAATTTTTGTATATTCTCAGGTTGTTGTTGTTGGTGGTTTTTTGTTTGTTTGTTTTTGGGTTTATTCCACCCACTTATTTGCTTATTTCAGAACCAGCATCATACATTTAATAATTGTAACTATAATCATTGAGTTATTTAGTGGTAGCACAGCCTGCTGCACGGCCATGCCTCTTATTTGTAATATTTTCCTTGCTGTTCTCATGTGTTACTTCCAACACACATTAGAGTCATTTTGAAATTTTAAAAAAATCCTATTGTGGTTTCATGTATATGATTATTCTATTGGATTTATAGAGCAATATATGGTGAAGCTACACCAGTACAATATTGAATTATTCTCGTCAAGAATCAGGAATTTATCTTCCTTTATTTATATTTCCCTAAGGTAGATGTAACTTGCTTAATTCTTTTTTTTTATTTTATAAATTTTTAATATATTTTATTGATTTTGTATAGAGAGGAAGGGAGAGAGATAGAGAGTTAGAAACATCGATGATAGAGAGTCATCAATCAGCTGCCTCTTGCACACCCCCTACTGGGGATATGCCCGCAACCAAGGTACATGCCCTTGACTGGAATCGAACCCGGGACCCTTCAGTCCCCAAGCCGACGCTCTATCCATTGAGCCAAACCGGTCTCGGCTGTAACTTGCTTAATTCTTAATTCGTTATTTGTTGAAAGACAGGATTAATACTTGATCACTGCAAATAAAAAAAAGAAAGAAAGAATATAGGAATAGGTTGAACACTAGCTATTTGGCTCAGTGGATAGAGCATTGCCCTGGGGACTGAAGGCTCTGGGGGAGGGGAGGTGGTAAGGTTTATTTCATAACTAGCTACTGTCAGACCTATAGGGCCGTACAATCCTACGGGCCATTGGTAAGCTTCCCGCCACAAGAGAACAAAAGACAGGAGAAATTTGCTGGACACCAGCAGGCAGACCGTACAGGGAGTGGAAACCAGCCTGAAGCACCTGATGGCACACCTGTGTTCCATCTCATCCCGACCCCCACTCAGCCCCAAACCCACTGATGACAGGCTTCCCACGGTGGCCGCAGGGAAGGACGAAACTCCAGATCCTGGTGCTGCTGTCATCGGCCCCATGGCCCCTTGGCTCGGTGCTGTGCAGCCTTCCCTTAGGATATCCCAACCCCCGCCCCCACCCGTAAATAAATTCAAATTTTCTTTTCTTTAAAAATTTTTTTTAATTGATTTTTTACAGAGAGGAAGGGAGAGGGATAGAGAGTTAGAAACATCGATGAGAGAGAAACATCGGTCAGCTGCCACCTGCACACCTCCCACTGGGAATGTGCCTGCAACCAAGGTACGTGCCCTTGACCGAAATCGAACCCAGGACCTTTCAGTCCACAGGCTGACGGTCAATCTATCCACTGAGCCAAACTGGTTTTGGCATCTTTCCTTTTTTTTTTTTTTTAATATTTTTATTGATTCAGAGAGGAAGGAAGAGGGAGAGATAGAAATATCAATGATGAGAGTCATTGATCAGCTGCCTCCTGCACACTGGGATCAAGCCTGAAACCTGGGCATATGCCCTTGATTGGAGTCAAACCGGGGACCCTTCAGTCCACAGGCTGATGCTCCATCCACTGAACCAAACAGGCTAGGGCTGATTCAGTGTTTCTTTATCCACTGCCTAAGATGGCTATTGAGACTGCCCGCACGCAACATCCACCAGCTTCACCTACCAGCTATTCTACTAAAATCTTACTGTTTCTAATAGTTTCTCATGGAAAACATTTTCATTTTGCAGTATGCAATTATTAAAAAAAAATCATGCTTCTTATTCCATTATTGTCAGGAGCAAGAGAAGTATGCCCACTGCTATCATTTAACATTGTCAGGAAAGCACTAGTCAATGCAGCAAAATTATCTTTTGGAATAAATAAGATGAAACAGCCCTAACTGGTTTGGCTCAGTGGATGGAGCAATGGCCTGTGGACCCAAGAGTCCTGAGTTCAATTCCATTCGGGGGCACATGCCTGGATTTTGGGCTTCGTCCAATGTGCAGGAGGCAGCCAGTCAATGATTCCCTCTCATCATTGATATTTCTATCTCTCTCTTCCTCTCCCATCCCTCTGAAATAAATTATATATATATATATATATATATATATATATATATATATATATATATATCATATATATATTTTGAAGATACATTCATATTTTTAAAAAAGAGATGTAACAAAAAGGGTCCCAGGTTCGATTCCAGTCAAGAGCATGTACCTTGGTTGCAGACACATCCCCAGTGGAGGGTGTGCAGGAGGCAGCTGATCGATGTTTCTCTCCCATCGATGTTTCTAGTTCTCTATCCCTTTCCCTTCCTCTCTGTAAAAAAAAAATTTTTTTTTTTAAAAATCAATAAAATATATATATATTTTTTAAAAGATTTTAATGAATTGTGCTATTTTTGTGCCCCAACAGCTATAACGTTCTGTGGCTCCTCAAGATGTCCACCTTAGTCTTAGGACTCGGCCTGCTTTTATTTACGTTCAGAAGTTTGTACCTTCAGGAAGAGTCCAGACTCCAGCCAGTGCTCCCTCGTCCGGATCCGGCTGTCCAGATGCCAAAGCTTCTGCCGGAGGGACGGCTCAGGTCCCTCTTTTCCTACGACGGCGTCTGGTGAGATACCACGATTCCCCTCTCCCCCACCTTGGCCCGGCAGCTCCCTTGCTCCTCCTGTGCTGTGCTCTGCTCTGTTGTGTCCGTTTCCAGATGATTCCCTGCCTTCCTGAACTGTGTTGGTTCAGATGATTCCCTACGGTGAGAGCAGGAGAGGGCGCGCTCTCCAGGGCACAGTCTGCGCTCAGTCAAGCCCCTTAAAACCGTGGAGGGCCCATCTAACTGCCAGCCCTTGTCCCTCCAGCCTCCTCCTGTAGTGGCACTGAGATGCCATTGGCATTCCTGTGAGCCTCAAGTGTAAAGAAGTTGGGCGCAGGGATAAGTCAAGAGAGCCGGCCCAGCCCTTACCGGCTTGGCTCAGTGGGTAGAGCGCCAGCCTGCGGACTGAAGGGTCCCAGGTTCGATTCCGGTCAAGGGCAAGTACCTTGGTTGCAGGCACGTCCCCCAGGAGGGGGTGTGCAGGAGGCAGCCGATGGATGTTTCTCTCTCATCGATGTTTCTGACTCTCTATCCCTCTCCCTTCCTCTCTGTAAAAAATCAATAAAATAAAATTAAAATTAAAAAAAAAAAAGAGAGCTAGCCCTTCTTCCCATTCCCCACTCCTTCCTCTCCCTGTGGCTCTGGCGGGGGCCTCTGCTAATATTCCAGGACAGCGGGTCTGGGAAAGGGAGTTTCTCAGACGGATACACGCAGGATGAGATCTCGGGTTCTCCCTCACTCATCGGCACCCCTCCTCCCACCCAGGCTTGTTCACAGTCTTGTTTGTTTTAGGCTGTTCCCGAAAAACCAGTGCCGCTGTGAACCCAAAGGCCAGGGCTACTACAACTTTGAAGGTGCCTATGGCCAGACAGACCTCCCTGCGGTGAAAGCCAGGAGGCAGGCTGAATATGAACACTTTCAGAGGAGGTAATGCAGACCACCAGGGCTCCCGCCCGGCTCAGGAGGAGCAGAAGCTGCTCTTTGTCCTGAGGGTATGGGTTCAAAGAGAGAAGGAAGGGTGCCTGGGAGGAACTATTGGGAATAAACCTACGAAAGAGAATGGAGGAAATAGCCCTCAAATGAAGATTTACAAACTTTGCGTGCATCAAACGTTTTGTAATAAAAAAGGAGCAAAAGAGCCCTAGCCGGCTTGGCCCAGTGGATAGAGCATCAGCCTGTGGACTGAAGGGTCCCAGGTTTGATTCCGGCCAAGGGCACATGCCTGTGTCGAGGCCTGATCCCCAGTAGGAGGTGTGCAGGAGGCATCCGATCAGTGATCCTCTCTCATCATTGATGTTTCTATATCCTTCTCCCTCTCTGAAATCAATATAGAAAAAAAAAAAAAAAAAAAGGAGCAAAAGAATGAAGATAGTTAGCAATGTCAGTGTGGTGTGTGGCCCAGTGTCCATGCACCCCGTTGGAGGTGACCAGGTCAGCAGGGGGCAGTTAGGGGCAATCAGACAGGCAGGCAGGTGAGCAGTTAGGAGCCTGTGGTCCCAGATTGTGAGAGGGATGTTTGAGGGGTCCCAGATTGGAGAGGTGCAGGCTGGGATTTCATGCACGAATTTCATCCATTGGGCCTCTAGTAATAAAATAATAGCATTGTGATTGAGGATTTTAACTTTGGAACAAGCTGGGTGGCAAGTTACTTAACCTCATAATACTTAGTATCTTCTATGAAAAATTATGATACCTCCCTCTAAAGCTTATTGTGGGGAAGCAGGGGGTCCTGATATAAGGTGACAGAAGATTGGGCTTTGGGTGAGGAGCACATGGTGCAATATACAGGTCTTGTAACACAGAAACCCACACCTGAAGCCTCTATGTTCATGTTGACCAATGTCCTCCCCCAATCAATTTAATTAATAAATATTTTTAAAAGGCTTATTGTAAGGTGAATTGTATTAACATTCAGAGAACTAGTAACTCAAAAAGTACCTGACATATAGAAGCACTGCAAACATATTATCTACTATTATTGTGATTTATTCTATCATCATTCTTTTAAAGTTTTTCATGTATTGCTGGGACCGGTTTGGCTCAATGGATAGAGCGTAGGTTTGGGGACTGAAAGGTCCCAGGTTCGATTCCGGTCAAGGGCATGTACCTTGGTTGCGGGCATATCCCCAGTAGTGGGTGTGCAAGAAGCTGATGGTTGACTCTCATCGATGTTTCTGACTCTCTATCTCTCTCCCTTCCTCTCTGTACAAAATCAATAAAATATATTTTTTAAAAAATAAAGTTTTTCATGTATTGATTTGAGAGAGAGGGGGCAATGGAGAGAGAGAAAAAAAGTGAGAAACATTGATTTGTTCCACCTATTTATGCATTCATTGGTTGATTCTTGTATATACCTCAGATTGAACCTGAAACCTTGGCATATCAAAATGACCTTACATAGCCCTTACCTTTAACTTTGATGAAAAGGTAGTTGTTTTTTATTTTATTTTATTTATTTATTTTTAAAATATATTTTATTGATTTTTTATAGAGAGGAAGGAAGAGAGATAGAGAGCTAGAAACGTCGATGAGAGAGAAGCATCGACCAGCTGCCTCTTGCAGGGATGTGCCCGCAACCAATGTACATGCCTTTGACTTTTCAGTCCGCAGACCACTGAGCCAAACCGGTTTTGGCAAAAGGTAGTTGTTTTTTAAAGTTACATTTCCCTGAGTAATATTGAAGCTGAGCATGTTTCACATATTTATTATCCATTTGCATTTCCTCTTTTAATTGCCTAGTTATGTCCTTTTCCATTTTTAAAAATATATATTTTATTGATTTTCTACAGAGAGGAAGGGAGAGATACAGAGAGCTAGAAACATCAATGAGAGAGAGTCATCGATCAGCTGCCTCTTGTACACCCCCTACTGGGGATGTGCCCCCAACCAAGTTACATGCCCCTGAACCGGAATCGAACCTGGGACCTTCAGTCCGCAGACCGACGCTCTATCCACTGAGCCAAACCGGCCTCGGCTGTCCTTTTTCATTTTTAAATGTTATCTCTTTCATATTCCCATAAATACTCACTCCAATAGTCTGATCTCTCTTCCAGGTACTCTAAGTGGTGGTATCTCTGGTTAAACTGGGTCCCTCAAGGCTACATGTCAGTGTGTTACCTTAGTCCCTCAAAGAGCAATCTCATTGGATTGTGTTATGCGCTTGCCTTTGACTGAAGGTCGTTGCAAGAACAAAACCATTTGAAAATCATCACCGCGTTTGCTTTGAAACTACGGGGACGCCAACCACTCGCACATAGTTTCCTGTGATGCACTTTATGTTTTGGTGCAGAGCCCAGAAGAGTTTGACTTTCCTTCAGGAATTGGTCTCTTTGCCCCTTTAAGAAGACCCACGTGCTGATGATCATTTTATACCCAGGCCTCCAGGGAGTCGCCGGTGACTTGTGTTCAGCTGCTGCAGCTGTGCTGGCTTCCATGGTCTGATTATTTTGTTTCTTCTTTTTTGCTGGTCATGATTTTTTTTTTAAATGATTTCATTGATTTTTTAATATTTTATTGATTTTTTACAGAGAGGAAGGGAGAGGGATAGAGAATTAGAATCATTGACCAGCTGCCTCCTGCACACCCCCCATCGGGGATGTGCCCGCAACCAATGCACATGTCCCTGACCAGAATCGAACCCGGGACCCTTCAGTTCGCAGGCCCATGCTCTATCCACTGAGCCAAACTGGTTTTGGCTATTTATTGATTTTTTTTTTTACAGAGAGGAAGGGAGAGAGATAGAGTTAGAAACATCGATGAGAGAGAAACATTGATCAGCTGCCTCCTGCACACCCCCTACTGGGGGATGTGCCTGCAACCAAGGTACATGCCCTTGACCAGAATCAAACCTGGGACCTTTCAGTCCGCAGGCCGACGCTCTATCCATTGAGCCTAACTAGTTAGGGTGTGATTTATTTATTTATTTATTTATTTTTTTATGCCGTGACTCGGATACGAACCGTGATTTTTTAAATTTTTTTATTTTATGTGCTTTGTTGTAAACTGCTCAGTTCGTTTGTGGAGTGAAGAGGCTGGGCGTCATGGAGGAGGGGAGGCTGGAAGGGAGATGGGGACAATCTACTTTCCATTTCTCCCCACTGGCAGCCCGAGGCTCTGGGCACGGGCACCCCTGGAAGAAGTCACCTGGAAGAGGAGTCAGGGCAGCTGCTTACAGTTCCTTTTGTCTGCAGGGAAGGGCTGCCCCGCCCACCGCCCCTGCTGGCTCCGCCCAACCTCCCCTTTGGGTACCCGGTCCACGGGGTGGAGGTGATGCCCCTGCATACAGTTCCCATCCCAGGTAGGTCCGCCCCATCGGGCAACGTTCCTGTTCCTTCTTTTCTTTTTTTTTTTCTTTTTTTTTTTTCTGGCTCCAGCAATGGTTCATTTAGCAGCTGATGACACCCTCAAACACTCAGGTTCTTTCTACCTCTCTGCTCTGCTATCCTCTGTGCTATTGTCAGCTTTGGGGCTTGCAGTGGTTCCAGGCACAATCTCCAGAGGTTTAAGAGATGACCTCCTCCTGAGAGAATGAGATCTCCTATTTCTTCTTAAGCAAAAGGAGGGAGCAGTCATTCATTGAGCACCAGGACAAAGTTTGAAATGACTTCATTTAATGTTAATATCACTGTTTCCACCACGGAGATCACCCTTAGTAGCTGTGGCCTCCGTGGGGCTATGAAATAACACAGAAGAGGACAGATGTCTGTGAGCCTCAAGGAGCCTTAGGACATAATTGGCTTGTTGGTGTCCTATAGCATTGTGGGAGCAGGCAAAGCACAGGCCATCTCCAGGATTAATGCTCCTCGGCATGAGGGCCTGGCTCATCCAGGCTGCTTCCTTGGACCCCTCTCACACAGGGTGGAGGTGGGGAGAAGGTGCAGGGGGACCTTGCACAAACCTGAGGAAGGAAGTGTCCATGCTGAGCCTGGCTCTCTAAGTACCTGCTGCCCTGACATCCCCATCCTGGATATTTGATGGTTGATGGGGGAGCTCTGGCCCTGATACAGCAGCACTATTTTCTAAAAATAATTATTTGTTTCTTAAACAACTAAAAGGCTTGTATTGAGCAGGCCCTGGTTCAGAAAAACAAAAACAAAAAACGAAACCCCTTTTCTTAAAAGTCTCTGTGTTCTGCTTGGATGGGGCGGAGTTTCAGGGTGGAGCTTACAGCCTTGGCTTCTGTCTGCCACACCCTATGCGGCTCCTGAGTCTCAGTATTCCTCAGGGTCCTTCAGTACTCGTTGTAAGCGCCTCTGAGAGGAAGGTGCCCTCGAGTTTCACCTGCTACCAAACAGCCTAGGCTCTCCCCCAATGAGCCCGGAACTGGGGTTCAGTTTAGTTGGAAGTGGGATTGGAAGTGGGGTTAAGAGCAGTCCGGAGCTTTTGTCTCCTTCCCACCAGGGCAATCCCGCAGCACAGCCAACCGTCCGTCCTCTGCACGCCATGTGCACGCTTCTGGGACCTCCTTTCGCCGCTCTCCCGGGGTTATGCCTTATAGCCCAGCTCCCTCTGTTTGAGCCTGGGTCCTCAGGGTCTGGCCTAGAACTGGGGTTCAGTGCTGTCGGGTCTGGGGTTCTGCACAATTTGGAGCTTTTATTTCCTTCCCGCTAGGGAACGCCAGCCAGGTACTCAGCCTCCGCGTCCTCTCCGCGCAGCATGTCTCCATACCTTAGGCTTTTCCAGCTCCTCCGCTCTTCCTTCTGGTTTTCTCTTTCCTTCTTGTTTTAGAATTTCCAGTCAGTCGACTTTCCTGTAGTACTGGGTAATGTCCATTTTATATTTTAGTTGTATTTTATTGAAATTGTTGTGTGAGGCTGCGGTTAGGTGTTTACCTGTACAGCCATCTTGGATCCTCCATAAATCATCTTTTCACGAAACCGCTTTCCATGAGGGATTTTTACATACGCCTCTAGTTCAGCAGCACAGCCCTGTGAGGTAAATGTTTATTTTTGCCAATTTACCAGATGAGCTGAGTAAGTTCCCTATGGCTATAGGAGGGCATTTTTGAAGTAGAACTTGATTTAGTCTTCCTATAAGAGCAGATGCTAACATAAATACACTTTGGGGGTTCATTGTTAGTGTTTTTGAAGAGTTATTTAAAAATAATATGACACTTTGGATGATTCATTTTTTTTTACTATGGTAAAGTATGCATAACAAAATTTACTATTTTAACCATTTTCAATCGCATTGAGTACATTCGCAATGTTCTGCAACCATCACCACCATCCGTCTCTAGAACTTTTTCACCTTCCCACTGGAACTTTGTACCTATTTAACATTACCTCCCATCACCTTCTAGCCCCTGACAACCACCAATTTAAAAATATTTCTTTTCCACATCCAGCTCGGCTAGAGAGCGGGTCCAGTTCCTGAGTAGAGGAGCTGGGGATTGAGAAAATATGAAAGAAAGAGAGAAACAAGACACAAAATGAAAGGAAAAAGCTGGGAACCGGGTGGGACCACTGCCCTCTTCTCCTGGAGAGACAGTGACCCAAAGGCAAATCAGCATGTTTATTTTATATGCCAGGAAGTTTATTTTATATGCCAAATGCCAGGAAGTTTCACCAGAAGTCAAGACAAAGGAGATTATTTGCATTCTTAAAAAAAAAAATTATATATATATATATATATATATATATATATATATATATATATATATATATATATTTTGGGACTGGTTTGGGTCAGTGGATAGAGCGTCGGTCTGCGGACTGAAAGGTCCCAGGTTTGATTACGGTCAAGGGCATGTACCTTGGTTGCGGGCACATCCCCTGTGGGGGGTGTGCAGGAGGCAGCTGGTCGATGATTCGCTCTCATCGATGTTTCTAGCTCTCTATCTCTCTCCCTTCCTCTCTGTACAAAATCAATAAAATATATTAAAATATATATATATATATATATATTTTATTGATTTTTTTACAGAGAGGAAGGGAGAGAGATAGAGAGCTAGAAATGTCAATGAGAGAAACATTGACTAGCTGCCTCTTGCACACCCCCTACCGGGGATATGCCCGCAACCAATGTACATGCCCTTGACCGGAATCGAACCTGGGACCTTTGAGTCTGCAGACCGACCTTTACCACTGAGCCAAACCAGTTTTGGCTTATTTGCATGCTTATTTGCATTCTTGAGAAAGCCTTAGCATTCCTGGTGCATGACTGGATTTACATATCAAAAATTCATTACCGACACCCGGGCTGAAATGAAGGTCAAGCTGATAACACCCTTGCCTTTTTGGCAAAGCATGTGCCCAGGGCATGGTTTTGCCTGTCACCTTGGGTTCAGCTGACAATAATTAAAGAATGCCCATTTGCCTTCTCTATATCTCACCCTTTTTTGTTTTTAAGCTACTATAATGTAAGTAAAATTTAAACATCAAGAACAAAACTCTAATATTAAAACAATTGCAAACAATGCCAATGCAAAAACCAAACTACTTAAAGTTATCATTTTAAAACTTGATCGTCAAGCCGAGACTGGTTTGGTTCAATGGATAGAGTGTCGGCTTGGGGACTGAAGGGTCCCGGGTTCGATTCCGGTCAAGGGCATGTACCTTGGTTGCGGGCATATCCCCAGTGGGGGGTGTGCAAGAGGCAGCTGATCGATGACTCTCTCTCATCGATGTTTCTGACTCTCTATCTCTTTCCCTTCCTCTCTGTACAAAATCAATAAAATATATTTAAAAAAAAAACTTGATCGTCAAGAGCAAAACTCTGGCTATTAAATAATAACAAAACAATGCCAATGCAAAACAGCAATAAGAGAGAAATCAAAACTACAGACATGTTAACATTTTTACATGTTAAATATACACCAGCAGCAAAAGAAATGCAAGTTTCTTTTGCTGCTGGTGTATATTTACCCAGCGTCCACGGACTTGACTGCACAAGACTTTGCAGAAGCCTGGCAGCTAACAGACGCTAGCATAAGCAGGGACATGGTGGAAGAAGTAGCTTCAGGTTCTTGCTTTCCCACTATCTGCTGCGCTTCATTTGTTAACTTCTTTTTTTTTTAATTTATTTTTTTTATCATTTGTTAACTTCTTCAGCTGACCCCATGTTGGCACCTCAGTCCCTTGCGTAGCTTCCAGTTTTCTTCTTCTCCCACTTTGCTGTCATTAGGGAAACTCTCAGTCCTTTTGAGCTTGACTGGGTCCATTGTGGTGACACACGTAACGCTCTGGCACCCAAATTGGCTGCACTGCTCCTTCTGGAAAGATATAAAACACAAACTCTCCCCCACATCACTACTGAATCTGATAAAACCATTGTCGCCGGGACCGGTTTGGCTCAGTGCATAGAGCGTCGGTCTGCAGACTGAAAGGTCCCAGATTCGATTCCGGTCAAGGGCATGTACCTTAGTTGCAGGCACATCCCCAGTGGGGGGTGTGCAGGAGGCAGCTGGTCGATGTTTCTCTCTCATCGAACTTTCTAGCTCTCTATCTCTCTCCCTTCCTCTTTGTAAAAAATAAATAAAATATATATTTAAAAAAAATTTAAAGTATAAAGAGTATGACTGAGTTTGTTTTGAGGTGACATATAACATCCATCTCCCCCTTTGTGTTTTAGTAATTTTTTTTTTAAAAATATATTTTTATTGATTTTTTTACAGAGAGGAAGAGAGAGGGATAGAGAGTTAGAAACATCGATGACAGAGAATCATCGATCAGCTGCCTCCTGCACACCCCCTGCCGGGATTGTGCCCGAAACCAAGATACATGCCCTTGACTGGAGTCAAACCCGGGACCCTTCAGTCTGCAGACTGATGCTCTTTCCACTGAGCCAAACCGGTTAGGGCTAGGATGATTCGTTATTAATCCATTGCTTCCTTCCCTTCAGTAACAGACACCTGGAAGGGACTGGATTAATTCACAGCACCATCCAAGGGTGGCATCAGAGGTTTTAGAGCTGCTGGAAGGACCATGGGAAGCGTGTAAGGGAACCCCGGGGAGAGGGGAGTCTGTCAGCAAACACCCGGGACCGGAAGGAACACGAAGGGGCTCTGGAAGCACATGGAGGCGGCCAGGAGGGTGTAGCCTCAGACAGCCCTTGGAATCCTCTCTGATGATTTTTCTGTTTTCCTTTTCTCTGTGTCCTTCAGGTCTTCAGTTTGATGGACCCGAAGCCCTCGTCTATAAGGCAAGAGCCCCTTCCCAGTCCCTTCGTGCACTTGGCCTCCTGTCCTGGGCTCCCGGCCCAGCCCCCTTCCCCCCGTGGTGGCTGGTCTCGCATTTTGACTGAACCCCCATCCGGATGAAGCATCAGACATGAGTGTGAGGTGGGGGGCGGGAGGGGAGGGTGCCTGTTGGGAGGCACACTTTTTCCCCCGACGCCGCCGAAGGAGTGGCTGGAATCCAGGGAGGACTTCCAAGACCACGCCAAGGCACAGCCGGGAGAGGATGCTGCAGCCACAGCCACTGGCCCTCAGTCCTTTCCCTTCCTCTCTGTAAAAAAATTAAAAAAATACATAAAAAAAAAGAAGAAGGCAAAGAGTGCAGAGTCAAGCCCTGAAAAGCCCCATTCTGAGGTTTTATTTTTTATTTTTGTTCATATACTTTAAAAAAAAAAAAAATATATATATATATATTATTGATTGTGTACAGAGAGGAAGGGAGAGAGATAGAGAGTTAGAAACATCGATGAGAGAGAGAGTCATCGACCAGCTACCTCCTGCACACCCCACTGGGGATATGCCCGCAACCAAGGTACATGCCCCTGACCAGAATCGAACCCGGGATCCTTCAGCCGATGCTCTATCCATTGAGCCAAACCGGGTTCACCGATTTTTGTTCATATACTTTTATTGATTTCAGAGAGGAAAGGAGAATGAGACAGAAACATCAGTGATGAGAGAGAATCACTGATCTGCTGCCTCCTGCATGACCCCCTCTATCCCCGCCATGGGGACAGAGCTCACAACCCAGCCATATGCCCTTAACCAGAACTGAACCTGGGACCCTTCGGTCCGCAGGCCAATGTTCTGTCCACTGAGCCAAACCAGGAGGGCCATTTTGGGGGTTTTATAGAGGAGGAGCTGGCAAACGGAAGGCAAAAGAACGGTGCTCCGCAAGCGACAGATAAGAAAAGAAACTGCCTTGAACGCACCAGGCCCCAGGGCTTAATTCCCCTTCGCTGTGACCAGAGCAGGGACACCATGCAGAGCCACCGAGAGCTTCTCCTCTTCACCCTAATATGCTCCGCCCCCTGCAGACCATGTTGGGTCTGTGCCTTTCCTTGCATTTAGCCTCTCTGTACTTCACCCACTTTAGGTCACACTGACAGCTTCTCTGGGGACACTCAACACCCTCACCGACGACCCAGACAGTGTGGTGCAGGGCAGAGGCCAGAAGCAGCTGACCATTTCCACCAGTGACCGAAAGCTTCTGAATTTCATCCTCCAGCACGTGACCTATACCAGCACGGTGTACCAGCACCACAAGGTGGATGTGGGTGAGATCCTGTCCTTGGATGGAGACATGCTGAGGGGGCCGGAAAACATCACTGGGCCCTCTCCCCAAGTCTTCCTCCCCCATGAAGCCTGCCTGCATTGAAGATGCTTTCCTTGCTCCTGTTTCTTTTCTTTTCTTTTTTTTTTTTTTTAATTATATATTTTATTGATTTTTTACAGAGAGGAAGGGAGAGAGATAGAGAGTTAGAAACATCGATGAGAGAGTCATTGATCAACTGCCTTTTGCACACCCCCCTATTGGGGATGTGCCCACAAACAAGGTACATGCCCTTGACTGGAATCAAACTTGGGACCCTTCAGCCTGCAGGCTGACGCTCTATCCACTGAGCCAAACGAGTCTCGGCATGTTTCTTTCTTTTTTAAAAAAAAATATTTTGTTGATTTTTTTTACAGAGAAGAAGGGAGAGGGATAGAGACTTAGAAACAGCGATGAGAGAGAAACATCAATCAGCTGCCTCCTGCACACCTCCTACTGGTGCATGCCCTTGCCCAGACCTGCACACCTCCTAATGGTGCAGGCCCTTGGCCAGACTGTGACTCCACACCCAGCAGGTTCTCACAAGGGCAAGAAATGTGAGCTCAGGTGCTCAGCAGATTGCCCCAGGGACACAGAACACCATAGACTCCCTCAGGTCCTCAGTCTCACCCAGCCAGGTCACTGCCTACCAAACCTTCGCTCCCGCACTGCATGGGTTCCCCTGGGGCAGCATGGAGAGTGGCCCAGACAGGTGCTGCTCGCCCTGACCTTATTTCTCCCTCCAGTGAGTCTGACGTCCGAGTCCTCGACAGCCAAGTTCCCAGTGACCATTCGCCATCCCGTCATACCCAAGTTATATGACCCTGGACCAGGTAAGGCCCTTGCCCCTGGGGCTGCATGGTGGCGTCCTGTCGAGCTGTTGGTGAAATCCAGGTCCCCTCTGAGATGGAGATGAGAACTGACCAAGTAACAGTGTAGGTATGATTCCTGACAAGCTTGTTTAGAGGAAAACAATTCTAGGACACATTGCTCTAATAGCGCAAGACCTAACGAATGGTAACATTTTAATAAGTAATAGTGCCAGCTGGCGTGGCTCAGTGGTTGATCATTGACCTATGAACCAGGAGGTCATGGTTTGATTCTCGGTTCCTGGCTGGATCCCCAGTAGGGGGTTTGCAAGGGGCAGCTGATCAATGATTCTCTCTCATCATTGATGTTTTTCTCTCTCCTTCTCCCTTCCTCTCTGATATCAATAAAATATAAGTTTAAAAAAATAAGTAATAGTAATAAAAACAGAATAGTACTAGAGCATGAATAGATATATCAGTGAAATCAAATTTAAATTCCAGAAATAGACATGTTGGAATTTTACCATGTGATAAAGGTAACTTTCAAATTAAAGAGGGAAAGATGTATAGTATGTTTTTTTTAATGCATTTTTTAAAAGTATTTTTATTTATTTTTTACAGAGAGAAAGGGAGAGGGATAGAGAGTTAGAAACATCAATCAGCTGCCTCCTGCACACCCACTACTGGAGATGTGCCTGCAACCAAGGTACATGCCCTTGACCAGAACTGAACCTGGGACCTGGGACCCTTGTGTCCACAGGCCAACACTCTATCCACTGAGCCAAACCAGTGGCTTTAATGCAGGTTCGATTCCGGTCCCAGGTTCGATTCTGGCCAAGAGCATGTACCTTGGTTGCGGGCACATTCCCAGCAGGAGATGTGCAGAGGCAGCTGATGGATGTTTCTCTCTCATCGATGTTTCTAGCTCTCTATCCCTCTCCCTTCCTCTCTGTAAAAAGTAAATAAAATATATTTAAAAAAACAACAACAAACAAAACACCACTAGAACAATGTAAGTTAAGACAGAAACCGGTTTGGCTCAGTGGATAGAGCGTCGGTCTGCGGACTGAGGGGTCCCGGGTTCGATTCCGGTCAAGAGCATGTGCGGTGGTTGCGGGCACATCCCCAGTCGGAGGAGGCAGGAGGCAGGTGGTCAATGGTTCTCTCTCATCGATGTCTCTGTCCCTCTCCCCTCCTCTCTATAAAAAAAAAATCAATAAAATATATTTTAAAAAAGAAAAAAAAGACAGCGAGGCTTCCCAAAAGACAGTGCTCTGACACCCACCCTTTCTTGACCAGAGAGGAGGCTCAGAGACCTGGTGACCATCGCCACCAAAACATTCCTCCGTCCCCACAAGCTCAAGACCATGCTCCAGAGTCTTCGTGAGCATTATCCAGACTTGACCGTGATCGTGGCTGATGACAGCAAGGAACCTTTGAAAATTAATGACAGCCACGTGGAGCACTACATCATGCCCTTTGGGAAGGTATATTCCTCCCTCCCAGGTGGGACACTCCTGGGTCCTGGGACAAGAGGGCCCCAGAGTCAGGTTCTACGCTGGATGGGGCTGCTTCGGTGGCCTTCCCGAGGAAGCAGGGCCCTGGAAAGGGAAGGACTCTCCTCTGAGTCCTCTTGCTGACGCCAATTCACAGAGAAGACAGGCCACTCTCACTTTGCTGTGTTAATGTGCCTTTCCTCATACTCAGCACGGAAGTTGATTGAGGTCCTTCTAAGTGGTTTGAGTGAGTGACATCCCAAGGATTCCTGACATGCGGATCCAACTGGAATCATCTCTCTGATTCCAGCCAAGCTGGAGCAGCTCTCTCTCTGTCTGTCTCTCCCCCACACAGCTTCCTCCAAGGGCACACAGAATGTAACAGATACTATACGTACAACATACTGGTATGTATAGTATCTATTGTTGATGTCCTGGGAAGGCATCCTGTGTAGCTAGTCAAAGGAGAAAGGGGTGCATATGTATGTTGGGCTGTGCTCTACCCTTTTAAAAAATATATACTTTATTGATTTTTTACAGAGAGGAAGGGAGAGAGATAGAGAGCTAGAAACATCGATGAGAGAGAAACATCGACCAGCTGCCTCCTGCACAACCCCCTACATGCCCTTGACCAAGGTACATGCCCTTGACCGGAATCAAACCTGGGACCCTTCAGCCTGCAGGCTGACACTCTATCCACTGAGCCAAACCGGTTTCAGCTGGGCTCTACCCTTCTGACTTGGTGTTAAGTGCTTTCTGCTCCCACCAAAATCTTCCAAGCCTTTGGATGTGGGCACATCCCCAGTAGGGGGTGTGCAGGAGGCAGCTGATTGATGTTTCTCTCTCATCGATGTTTTTAACTCTCTATCATCTCCCTTCCTCTCTGTAAAAAAAAATCAATAAAATATATTTAAAAAAACAAAACAAATACCAAACCATCTTCCAAGCAATATAAGGGGAAAGGGAAGGAGAGCCACAGAGACTCGATCGGATGGAAAACCTATCCATATTGGCCACAGGGCCAAGGAAGGGCTTTCTGGCCTTTCAGTCTTTGATCCAGAAAGTCACTGTCCTTGTTGAGGTGTCTCTGAGACGGGGACTCCCTTTAACCCAGGGCTTCTCCCTCTCAGCTGTATATGGGAGCCACCCTCACAAATTCTGACTTCATTCGTCTGGGGTCCAGTCTGGCTATGGGAATTGAGACCGTGCCCCAAGGGATTATTCTAATGGCAGCCACTGACCTAACCTCATTCCACCCACAGGGCTGGTTTGCTGGCAGGAACCTCGCCATATCTCAGGTCACCACCAAATACGTTCTCTGGGTGGACGATGACTTTCTCTTCACCAACCAGACCAAGATTGAGAGGCTGGTGGACGTTCTGGAGAAAACGGAACTGGATGTGGTGAGGGAGAGTTGCCAGTTTTAGCCCTGTTGCAATCCGCAGAAACAATCGAGAGAAAGAAGGAGAGAAGAGAGAAAAGTATGTGGGGGAAGAGGGGAGGGGAAAAAAAGAAAGCAAGGAAGAGGAGAGAAGAGGGAAGGAGGGTGAGGGAGAGGGGCTGGTGCAGGAGATGAACAGCCAGCAAACTCTGGGGTTCAGGGTGTCACATCAGGACTCAGGAGATGTGCTTGAATTTTGTTTCTGCCTCCAAACTTACTTTTTTTTTTTTTTAAATATATTTTATTGATTTTCTTACAGAGAGGAAGGGAGAGAGATAGAGAGCTAGAAACATCGATGAGAGAGAAACATCGACCAGCTGCCTCTTGCACACCTCCTACCGGGGATGTGCCTGCAACCAATGTACATGCCCTTGGCCGGAATCAAACCTGGGACCTTTCAGTCCGCAGACCGAAGCTCTACCACTGAGCCAAACCATACTTACTTCGGTTTCGGCCATACTTACTTAAAAAAAAAAAATACATTTTTTAATTTTTTAAATTTTTTTAGAGAGAGAGAGGAAGGGAGATGGGGAGAGAGAGAGAGAGAAACATCAATGAGAGAAGAACGTCGTCGATCTGCTGCCTCCTGCAAGCACCCCTACTTGGGATGTAGCCTGCAACCTGGGCATGTGCCCTGACTGGCATCAAACCAAATACTCCGCCTCCTACTGGAAGGGACTGAGTTAGCTCCTGGAAAGGGTGAGCGTGCCGAATGGTGAGCAGAGCAGAGAACTTGTCTGCCCTTTTGGCTTGATGTTCAGTGCTTTCTGCTCCCCCCAAAGAGGTTTTCTGGGGTCAGTAGGAATGAAGGACCCCAGGACCCTGCAATATATGCTGAAGGCTGCGGCTGCAATAGCAAGAAGAGTAACGGACAGCGAGAAGGGTTGGTAAAGGGTGTGATTCTTGTTGAGGTGCAGTCCGGGAAGGCTTCCCGGCAGAGGCAGCATGGACGTGGAGTCCGTGTTCTCCAACGTGGGTTTCTCTGCCCGCGGGCCAGGTGGGCGGCAGTGTGCTGGGAAACGTGTTCCAGTTTAAGCTGCTGCTGGAGCAGAGTGAGAACGGGGACTGCATTCACCGGCGGCCAGGATCTTTCCGGCCCCTGGACGGCTTCCCCAACTGCGTGGTGACCAGCGGCGTGGTCAACTTCTTCCTGGCCCACACGGAGCGGCTGCTGAGAGTGGGCTTCGACCCCCGTCTGCAGCGAGTGGCTCATTCAGGTGGGGAGGCTGGAGGGGGAGGCTGGGCTCTGAACTGACCCTAGACGTGTGTTCTCTCAAGGGCATGCTCCACTGATCTCGGTCCCTTACCCGGCAGCGGTGGGTTTCCTTTCCCTCCCCCGCAAATGAAGGAGCTCGTGGTCTCTCTTGCCTCCCTCTTCACCCTCTCTTGTTTTTTTAAAAACATACCTATTGATTTATTATTTTCTTATATATATTTTATTGATTTTTTACAGAGAGGAAGAGAGAGGGATAGAGAGTTAGAAACATCCATCAGCTGCCTCTTGCACACCCCCTACTGGGGATGTGCCCGAAACCAAGGTACATGCCCTTGACTGGAATCGAATCTGGGACCTTCCAGTCCCCAGGCCATGCTCTATCCACTGAGCCAACCCGGTTTTGGCTATTTATTGATTTTTTACAGAGAGGAAGGGAGAGGGATAGAGAGTTAGAAACATCGATGAGAGAGAAACATTGACCAGCTGCCTCCTGCACACCTCCTACTGGGAATATGCCTGAAACTGAGGTACATGCCCTTGACCAGAATTGAACACGGGACCTCTCAGTCTGCAGGCCGACACTCTATCCACTGAGTCAAACCAGTCAGGGCTTCTACCTCTCTCTGACTTTTTCTTCTCTCTTTTTTAAAGAATATATTTCTGTAGATATTTTATTATTTTTTAAAAATATATTTTATTGATTTTGTACAGAGAGGAAGGGAGAGATAGAGAGTCAGAAACATCAATGAGAGAGAGTCATCGATCAGTTGCCTCTTGCACACCCCCTACTGGGGATATGCCCGCAACCAAGGTACATGTCCTTGACCGGAATCAAACTTGGGACCCTTCAGTCCCCAAGCCGACGCTCTATCCATTGAGCCAAACTGGTCTCAGCTCTCTCTGACTTCTTGCCTCCTGCTGATGAGATACCCTCTCCATCTTTTCCCCTCCCTTCTCCCCACCCTGCTTTCTATTCCCATTTTCCAGAAGTCCTTTCCTATTCAATTACAACTGGTTAACGCACCCCCCCCCCCCCTTCTCTCTCATTCCCTCAGGCCAGGAGTCCAGCTAGAAAGCCAGTCTGTGTCTCTCTGCCTCTCTACGCGTTCCCCATCAGCCGGGGCAGGTGGCGTTGCTTGGGGCTGAACCTCCGCAGGGGTGTAAACTGTGTCTCCTGCCCCTGACTCTCCTTCCAGACCCGGAACATGGTCCTGGGCCTCTGGCCCAATCTCACATGTCTTTCTCGCGCTCTTCCTCTCTTGGCAGAGTTCTTTATTGACGGGCTCGGCAGCCTGTTCGTGGGCTCATGCCCAGACGTGATTATAGGTCACCAGTCCCGTTCTGAGAAGAACCTGGAGCTGGCTGCCCTGGAGAAGACCTACAGCAAATACCGGACCAACACCAATGCCCAGATCCAGTTCAAGCTGGCTCTCCACTACTTCAAGAACCATCTCCAGTGCTCCACGTAAAGCACGAGGGCAGCGGCAAAGCACTAGGTTGGCTGGCTGTGGGTATCCGGAACGGTGGAACCGGTGGTCAGGCTACCAAAAAATGGACTCCTGAGAAAGATGAATATTATAATAAACCATAGAGTGGGATGGGTTCAATTACTTGAAAGACCAATCAGAGGCTAGAGATCATTAGACATGGACCAATCACTGATGAGGGCATCGCATACCATATTAAGAATGATTTATTTGTTTGTGTGACGCTTCACTGTGTACGAAGCATTTGCACGTCCTTGCGTGTTATTTGGTGGCAATGTTGTAGGCTGGCCTTCCTGCTCCCAGTCAGAAGCGTCATCTCCAGCATCATTGCAAGAACCAGATTTTTATTTGGTTCTGCCTCGTGGACTCAGACAGCGTGGATAACCCCGGGTTCTTGTCTTGAGGCGGTTGCAGCCGGTTCAGTTCAGTCCACTGGCATCATTGGGCAGCCGGGGCCAGAGGATCAGAGGAGGGAGAGGACACCCTGGCCTAGGCCGCTGTGGGAGGTTCTGTGGGGTTAGCTCATCTGGAGCCTGGAAGATGGATGGGGTTCAGGCAGCTGGAGAGAGAGAGGAGAGCACTGGGTAGTCCACTCTGTCAGAACAAAGGTGTTCCTGGCATCAGACTTGCTACCACAAAGACACATTCCAGCACGCCGGGGATTGAACTTGGACCCCCACGCTAAGGGGCCACGAACAACAGGGTAAGTGTGGTGGCAAACCACTGCATTCCAGGGACTTGAGACCAGTTGCCGACTCTTCAAGATCCATGTCATCCACAGGATGGAGCCTCACCTGTTTGTTGAGGAAAGCTCTCTGTCATCTTTGGAGTCAGCAGATTCTTTTAAAAAAAATTAATAAATCTTTATTGTTCAGATTATTACAATTGTTTCTCCTTTTTCCCCCCATAGCTCCCCTCCACCCAGTTCCCACTCCTCCCTCTTTCCTTACCTCCCCCCCACTGTCCTCATCCATAGGTGTAAGAGTTTTGTCCAGTTTCTTCCATAGAAAGTCCACTCCCTTTCTATGCCCCTGACATTGTCTTTGAGACTGGGAAATCCATCCTGGTAACCTCTGCCTACTCTCTGGCACTCGGTTAAATTGCCTCTGCCTTGGAAGTTATTCAAAATTGGCGTCTAAGGTACAGAGAGACCATCTGTAGTCCATTCTTTGCCCCCACATTTTCCCTCATTGTGGGCAGAAAGTGATTTTTTTTTTTTTTTTTAAGAAAATGTTTAAAGCTTTGCAATGCTGTAGGCTGGTCTTTTTGCTCAAACTGATCTCTGGCTAAGTCTCCTGACTCTGCTGGTGCTTTCTCTTGGGGTAGAGAATTCAGCTTTTCCAGCTCTGCAAGGCTCCAAATGATAGGGCTTCCAGTAAATTTGAAACTACTCTCACCAAGATTATATTCTATCTGCTTTAAAAAAAAAAAAAAAAAAAAAAATAAATATATATATATATATATATATATATATATATATATATATATATATATATATATATATAATGTTATTAAATGACGAGAAAGAATCACGGATCGATTGGCTGCCTCCTACATGCCCCCCACTGGGTATCATCCCACAAACTAGGCATGTGCCCTTGGCTGGAATCGAACCTGGGACCCCAGCTGACACTTTATCCACTAAGCCAAACCAGCCAGACTATGGTTATTTTTAAATCTTCTTTGTACTTTACTCATTTTCTACATTTCCCATCACAAATGTTTCATCTTTATAATCTGAAAATATAAAAGAATTCGTTTTTTAAAAAGAAGTGGAAACACTCAAGAAAAAGAGAAAATGTAGATGCTGCTTTTTAAAAAGTAAGTGGCTAGATTTCCCCATCAGGTTTTCCTGGGGGATGCCAGAGCTCCCAAGGCAAAGTGAGGATTTGTGGCAGACATCACCCAACCTGGGTGGCGAGGGGGCTGAGCAAGGGACCTTTTTAAAACGCCGCGGGACGCGGGACAAATTGTTAAAACTGGGGACTGTCCCGCCGAAAGCGGGACGTCTGGTCACCTTACCTTAGCAAAACTCACTTCCAGAAGTCCACAAGGGGCTGTCTCTTTCACCGATCTGACGGCAACCCTGCAGGTTCGAAGGAAACACCGACCAAGTACCTTTTTTACAAGCTAAACCCGGACCTGGAAGGGAAGCCTTCCCCCGCAGAACTCAGCGGGGTCCAGCCGCGGGGAGCCCAGGCATCAGCTGGGCTGCGCTCCCGGCTCCAAAGGCCGCGCCCGGCGCGCTGGGGCCTGGGACTGGGGTCCCCTCCGCGCTGGGGCCTGGGACTGGGGTCCCCTCCGCGCTCGGCCAAACGGTCCCTCCGAGACGCACGTGTGCGAAGTAAACCTATAAACACAGCAAACAAGGAGGAAGCCCGGAGCTTCCTGCGGGGGAGCTGCTGGAGCGGGAGCCGCCCCCGCCTCCAGCCCCCTCCCCGCCCCCCGCCCGAGGGCGCCCCGCCGGCCGCCCGGCTCCCCGCCCCGGACGCCGGCCAGCGCCCCGCGGACCGCAGGGCGAGTGGCGGCTGGACAGGACACCCGGGCCCGGGGACGGCGGGGACTCCGAAGCCCCCGCTGCTTCGCTCCCGCTCCCCCCGGCGACCTCGGCCCGGCGCCCGCGCCAGGTGAACCCGACATGAATCGCTTGTTTTGGGCAGACGGTTCGGCGCCGGCTGTATGGTTTGAGAAGACTCATGGCCGCCTAGAGCAGCCAGCAGGTCCCATGGTGTAATGGTTAGCACTCTGGACTTTGAATCCAGCGATCCGAGTTCAAATCTCGGTGGGACCTCTGTGAGCCTTTTGGTTCTCCAACTCTTGTTTTTTGCGGGGAGCTGCTGGCGGCCGCGGCCACCTCGGCCCGCGCCGTGCTCCCGGTGACCTCGCGGCCTCGCTTTAGGGTCCCTCCCCTTCTCTCCAGACGTTTTCTTTTCCTGAGCGCGCCGAGGGCTCCCAGTGCGCACGCGCAAGAGTCGGGGCGGAAAAGTCGGCGCCGGTTACGGGAGCGGGACGCGCGGTTACGTTCCCCGGAGGGGGCCGCCGGGGGCCCGACCGGCCCGGGGTCCTGCTGCGGGGGCCTGCAGCGGCCCTTTCGGGACTGGGAGGCCCCCCTCCGTCCCCCCAAAGCTGCCGGAATCCTTCCTCCTATCGGCCAGTGTGCAGAGTGCGATGCATTTCTGTTGTGCAAACCGGGGCCGCGGGGTCCCGCCGGGCGCACCGGCCCCGCGGAGCCGCGGGCGCGGGAAGGAATGCGGGGCCGGGGAGCAGGGAGGGTCTGGCGGTCAGTCCGGCTGTGGATCGGTCCGGTACTGGAGTGTGTGTGTGTGTGTTTTGGTTGTCCGTTATTCAGGCAGTGGGCAGTGAGGTTTTCTGTCGTTTTCCTTTAGATGCTTAAAAAAAAAAAAAAAAAAAAAAAAAAAAAATATATATATATATATATATATATATATATATATATATATATATTTCATTTACAGTTCGCATTCTATTTTATTTTGTATTAGTTTCAGGTATAGACATAATGTTTAGACAATCATCTACATTACAAGGGTCCCTTCCTCCTGATATTTCTAGTTCCCAACTGGCACTGATCGCAGTTATTACAATATTGTTGACTATATTTCCTACACCATACACTCTGTGTCCTTCAATCAGGACACACACACACACACACACACACAGAAACAAAACAAACAAAACAAAAAAAACCCTCCTTCATTAAGCATACCCATTCTTCAGTCTGTCTCAGAGGCTCAGAACATGTCTGCTGTCTGTTTCTCACCTTATCCATGCACGATTTCTCCCGAGGGGAGGGGTAGGGATGTCTACACGGTTTACCAACAGGATTGAGCAAAATCTCTCTATTGATGAGTCTGTGCTGGATCCAGGTTTGTGGTGCCTCCCGGGCCCAGGTGATCTGCAGGAAAGGGCGCGTTCTGGGTCGGCAGGGGAGAGATGGGCATGTGGTGTTGTTTTTTTTGGATTGGCATCTGGGTTCTGAGAGCTGTCTGTCCCTCTGGGATAAGGGACGAGGGCCCGATGACGCATCTGTGATCTCCCTGCAGGGTGATTGGCACTGTGGTTATTCATTCCCGCCCCGGGGGAACATGCCATGGTTACAGAGAGGATCCTGGCACTGCTCTGAATCTCTTCCATGAGCTACCTCTCTGCACCCCATCCCACCCCACTCACTCCTTGAAGATGCCAGTGGATTTGTGTGTATGAGCCATCTCAGCCTCAAAGGTCCATAGGCATAAGGTGGGAGAACTTGCTCTAACAGATATTAAAGCTTATCGTCATCTATAAACTATAGGGATTGAGACAGTGTGAAACTGGTGCAAGGTTACTGGTGCAGACATACCAGTGGAACAGAAGAGAGAGCTCAGATGCAGCCCCGAACATTCTTGGACAAGTGATATATGACAAAGGTAGCACAATAGGGAAGTGGGGGAAAGGGCCGACTGTTCAATACATTATTCTGGGAGCATGCGTGTCATATGGAAAAATAAGAAATCAAATTCCTCCCAACTTATACTAAGCAGGGCAATACCTTCCATGGGAACTGCAGACCTTTGAAAGGAAAAGCAATAAAGCTTTTGGAAAACAACATAGGAGAATATTTTCATGACATCAGAATAGGGAAAATCTTAAGACAGTAGATTCTAAAATTTTGATATATGTCATCATCTATAGATAGAAAGCCTAAGCAATCATTACTGACCACCAGGGGGCAGACACTCAATGCAGGAGTGAGGGGGTCAGTGCGCTCCCACAGCTCAGTCCCTCTTCCAGGCCAGTCCCGATGGCCCGATGGCCCCAAATTGCAGGCCAGGCCGAAGGACCCCACTCATGCACAGATTCATGCACCAGGCCTCTAGTTATATAATATTATATGTTCTTCTTATCAAAGACCCCAATAAGAAAGTGAAAAGGTAGCCCTAACCGGTTTAGCTCAGTGGATAGAGCATCTGCCTGCAGACTGAAAGGTCCCAGGTTTGATTCTGGTCAAGGGCATGTACCTTGGTTGAGGGCACATCCCCAGTAGGGGGTGTGCAAGAGGCAGCTGATGGATGATTCTCATCGATGTTTCTAACTCTATCCATCTCTCTTCCTCTCTGTAAAAAATCAATAAAATATATTAAAAAAAAAAAAAAAAAAGAAAAAGAAAGAAAGAAAGTGAAAAGGTAAGCCACAGCCCATAGCCGATTTGGGTTCGATTTCGTTCAAGGGCACATACCTAGGATGCAGGCTCAATCCTAGTCAGGGCAAGTATAGGAGGCAACCAATCCATGTGTTTCTCCCACATCAATGTTTCTCTGTCTGCCCTCCTCCTCCCTTCCACTCTCTCTAAAAAAGCAATCCTCTGGTGAGAATTAACTAAATAAATAAATAAAAAAAATTAAAAATGGGTTTAAAAAAAAAAGGTGAGCCACAGAGAGGGACCCAGGATAAAGATCCTTTGCCCTGAGCCAGCCTGATGCATTTGGAGGATCAGGCTGCATTCCAGGCCTCTGCCTCCAGAGACACCGATAAATTTCATCCTGCCACTGACTTCCTGGGCCAGTTGGGTACCAAAGTTAAATGTTCAGAAGTTGTAACATTTTTCCATGCGAGGTGAAGGATGTGTTAACCAAACTTGGCCTGGTAATCATTATCATTTATACAGCCATCTGTTTATATTATATCTCAATAAGGCCTGAGGCAATTAAAAATAAATATTCTGAGCCTTATCTGGAAAAGGACAGTTATGGCGCCTTTGGAATCGCAGTGTTGCAAGGATCAGTAAAATAGTCATTGCAAAGTCCTTTTCTCTATGTCCGAGCTCAGTATTGGAAACTGCTAGAAAGAGAACCAAAACAGTGGAGGCTAAGGAAGCTCAGATTCTGGAGAAAAGAACACATGTTTACGCGGGGAAGAACACACACTTGGAGGGTTGCCACGGAGGCAGAGAACTCTGAAATCAACTAAAATTTTTTTTTAAAAAAGAGTCTCTTTCTGCGAGGGAGACTTAGGGAGCAAAGTATGGCTGCATGTACTCCACAGGTAAAAGTTTTAAGGAAACTCCAGGTGCCGTCAGGGGAGAGGGAACCCCAGTGGTTAGGAGAAGGGCGTGGAGCCTGAGAGACTCCAGCTCTGCTCCCAGCTCTGCTGCTTCCAAGCGGCGAGGCCTTAGGCAAGTCACTCAGCCTTCCTGAGCCTTAGTTTCCCCATCTGCAAAATGGGTATAATAATGGAACCTACCTTACACGAGTATTGTGAGTACTAAAAAAATAATGCATTTAAAATATTAATACATTGCCTGGCACAGAACGAACACATTTATTACCGTTATCATCGTTACACAGTTATCAGAAAGGCCTGCCAGGGGCCTCGCTTCAGCGATTCTAAGACCAGATCCCAGCCCGCTGCAGCCTCAGCCCCTCTCACCTGCCAAGGAAGAGCGTGCACTCCAATCACTGTGCCCAGCCCGGACAAATGGTGTCTGAGCCGCCTCATCAGCGGCAAGTCTCTGGATAAAGCAGATGGTCTGGAAGCCTAAGCTGATCTTAGGCTCACGGTTCTACGCCCATCCATCCGCCTGAGCCGCCAAGCTCAGTGCCCTCAGGCCAGACTCCCTGCCCCCTGCGTAAGCCCTGCCCCGTTAGGGGTCCCCCTGGCTTACAGCCTATTTCCCCACAGTTTCACTTCATAAGCTTCTCCCAGCTCACTCACCATCCACTCGTTCAATAACGTGTTCACACAGGATGCTGTGTCCACCAGTGCTAGGGGCCATGGCCACCTCGATCACCCACTCCCAGGCCTCTGCCTCCATGCCTCCCTGAGCCTGGGTGTGGGTCCCCCTCAGCACAGGGCAGGGGGCATAGGGCACAGGGCATGTACCCTGATCTTCTCTTGGTCTCCTCCCAGGACCACCCAAGGTGACAGACACTGAGCTCCTGTCCAATGACAAGGGACCCTCCGGAGGAGCAGATGTTAGAAGACAACATGGTCGCTGAAGCCGGTTTGGCTCAGTGGATAGAGCGTCAGCCTGCAGACTGAAGGGTCCCAGGTTTGATTCCGGTCAAGGGCATGTGCCTTGGTTGCGGGCACATCCCCAGTGAGGAGTGTGCAAGAGGCAACTGGTTGATGATTCTCTATTGTCGATGTTTCTAACTCTTTATCCCTCTCTCTCTTCCTCTCTGTAAAAAATCAATTATCTATATATATTTATAAAAGACAACATGGTCAGTGAGCGATCTTCTTTTTCTCTTGCCCCTAGGGAGACAGGCTGGGTGCTCAGAGGGGCCGGGAAGAGGCTCGGGATTTCTTTCTTTCTTTCTTTCCTTAAAAAAAAAAAAAAAAAAAAAATATATATATATATATATATATATATATATATATATATATATTATTGATTTTTTACAGAGAGGAAGGGAGAGGGATAGAGTTAGAAACATTGATGAGGAGAGTCATTGATCAGCTGCCTCTTGCACACCCCCTACTGGGGATATGCCCACAACCAAGATACATGCCCTTGACCGGAATCGAACCGGGGATCCTCAGTCCCCAGGCTGACCCTCTATCCACTGAGGTTTCAGCGAGGCTCGGGATTCCTAAGAATGTGAGACCAGGACAGGACCCCGGAGGTCATCTCACCAGCTCCCCGTTAACGCAGGGAGCAGAGCACCTACCTCAGGGCCTGCTCAGCACTCAGCCACCGCCGCTTCCGAAGCCCGAGCAGCTCATCGGGAACGTGAACCTGGTGCTTCTCAAAGCCGAGTCCTTCCTGTGGTCTAACCCGAGTCCCGCACACCACCCTGGTCCACGGCCCTCCTCCCGCCTCCATCCTCCACCGAGCACCGAGCGTGTGCTCCGCGGAGCCCGCAGAGGCTGGACAGCACTTCGCGGGGATTCTGGCTGTCTTCCTGCCGCCCCGTCTGGTCCTTCCTCCTGCATTGTCCGTCTGCCATTGTTGCTGCTCCATCCCCCTACCCCCCCTCACCCCCCCCCCCCCACAACTGGTCTCCATATCCTCTCCACCCTCCTCTCTGCTATCCTCGGTGACTCATCCCTGGGCTTCCCAAGGAAGCCCCCGCCCTCTGCCCTTTCCTCCCATCCCTGAGTGGAAAATCTGTCTCCACGCCCCCCCCCCCCCACAGCAGGCCACCCCCTTCCTCCCAACCCACCCCTCCTCCCTCCCCCCCACAGCTTCCTCTCCAGGCCCAGGAGCAATCACAGGCGCCCCGACCTTGACTTCCTCTGCTGGGAGAGGCCGGGAGGCTGGGCCCCGACGGGACCATCGCTGTCCCCTCCTCTGGGCAGGGGACAGCCAGGCGCGGGCCCGGGCCCAGGCCCCGACTTCCTCTTCTCCCGGAGCGAGCAGGCCTGCCCTTCGCGAGCAGGTTTCGGTCTCTCACGAAGAGGAAACCGAGCGCTGAGAGGGAGGGGAGGCCGCGTGGCCAATCAGGGGCCGCGCGAGGCACAAAACCGGGCGCCCCGTGGGGCGCAGGCAGAGCGGGGCCATGGCAGAGCTGCAGCAGCTGCAGGAGTTGGAGATCCCCACGGGCCGGGAGGCCCTGCGGGGCAACCACAGCGCCCTGCTGCGCGTGGCCGATTACTGCGAGGACAACTACGCACAGGTAGGCCGAGCGGGCCGCCCCGCACCCATCCCTAGAGGGGCCCCGGGCAAGGCCATCCCCGGGCAAGGCCACGGCACCGTCCTGACAGGTGCTTGTCCTGGGCTTTAACCGTGATCCTGTGCTACCCAAGCCCCCTCGGCGCCCTCTTCTCTCCCAAAGCCTCCCCTGTGCGGGTGCCCTACCCCATCCTTCTCAGCCTCACCCTGGTCCATCTCCCTCCCAGCCTCTCCCTCACACCCACAGGCCCAGAGGCTCGTCCACACACACACACACACACACACACACACACACACACACACACGGCGCCGTCTGTCCTTGGCGGGCTGGCTCTAGGGGAGACTTCCGCAGGACTCCCCACGCATCGTAGTGGGCTTGAGATGGACCAGGGAGCGCGGGAGAGCAGAGAGAGGAGGTCGTGTTCAGGAGAGGGGTCTGACCCAGGCCAGGGGATGAACCCGTGACTGTAGGGAGCAGCCCACCAGCCAAAGAGGATATAGGGGCGTATCCGAGCAGTTTCCTAAACTGGGTGGTGGTCCCAGGAGAAAGCAGGTGGCCTGAGTCTGTGGACTCCGGGGTCGAGGGAAGAGGAAGGAGAAAGACTTAATGACGGAGCCCCTGTGTTATTTCACGAGTCCAGGCGACCCCTGTGAGGCGGCCGTGCAGGGAGGCGAGGGGACCCAGGTCACAGTGCTTGGAAACAGCCGAGCCCAGGTCTTCTGACTCCGAAGCCAAGCTCCCTACCTTCCCACCTGTCTGACGTGCTGTATGGCTTTACGGCGATTTATCTGCACTCTCTGTCCTCGGTTTCCTCTGCCCCCTGCAGGGCTACAGACTAAACCTCTAATCCATTCAGCAAACCTTCATTTTCATTTTTCTAACCTGTTCTGATCAAACTGTGAGAGGAGGCCCAGGGACTCCCAGATGAATAAGAGCATTGAAAAATAAAATAATAATAATAAAAGGAGCAAGTGCTTATGGGAAAGAGAGAGTCGATGAGCCTGGCCAGTGTGGCTAAGTGGTTGAGCATCAGCCCATGAGCCAAGAGGTCACTGGTTGGGTTTCTGGTCAGGGCATTGATTTGGTCCATTTTATAGAAAAGGAAATTATCTATAATTTTCCCCGTGAGGGATGGATGTGTAAGAAGCAGCTGACTGATGATGTTTCTCATCAATGTTTCTATCTCCCTATCCCTTCCCCTTCCTCTTTCTAAAAATCAATAAGGCATATTTTTAAAAAGAGAGAGAGTCAGTGATAATAATAGTTAAAACCCTTGGCCCCCTTACTTTGAGCACATGGGTTGCTTCCTTTAGTCCTCACCCCAGTCCTGTGAGGAGAGAACACTCCCACTTCACAACCAGAGGCTGAAGTTCAGAAAGGTGAACTCACTTTCCCAAGGTGTTCAGGCTAGGGGCCGAACCTGGATTCAGACCCGTAACTCTGCCTCCAGGCGCCATTTCTGACTGCGTCTGTGTGGGCTGGCCTGTGAACAGCTCCGTGCCCCCAGCACCCCAGGCGTGCTCCTCCTGATGACCAGGAGGAAAGTGTTCCTGCCCGGTCCTTCCATCAGCTCTGCACATCGCAAAGTACTTTCCCCTCAGTCCAGGGCCTGCCCCTTACACAGGCCAGGATGGCCGAAACCGGTTTGGCTCAGTGGATAGAGCGTCGGCCTGCGGACTGAAGGGTCCCAGGTTCAACTCTGGTCAAGGGCATGTACCTTGGTTGCAATACATCCTCAGTGGGTGTGTGGGGGGGTGTGCGCACGCGCGCGCAAGAGGCAGCTGATTGATGGTTCTCTCATTGATGTTTCTAACTCTCTATCCCTCTCTCTTCTTCTCTGTAAAAAATCAATAAAATATATTAAAAAATATAAAAACAAAACAGGCTAGGATACATGGCAGCTGTTACTATTATTATCACCATCATTATCATCATCATCATCTTATTCATCAGAAGGATGACAGACACACGTAGATAACAAAAGTCAGTGCAGTGAGGTGGAGCAGCCCCTGCAAAACTCCGGGGACAGGAAGCTCTGACCCAGGTCGGCATTCCTGGACTCCTGCCTCCTTCAGGCAGAACGCTAACTGTGAGCCCACAGAACCACGTCCCTTTTCTGGCCTCTCGGAGGATTTTTGTCTGAAGAGCCAATGCCCGAGAAGGATCTGGATGACTTCTTAGAACTGCTTTTTTTTTTTTTCTTCAATATATTTTATTGATTTTTCACAGAGAGGAAGGGAGAGGGATAGAAAGCTAGAAACATCGACTAGAGAGAAACATCGGCCAGCTGCCTCCTGCACACCCCCCACGGGGGGATGTGCCCGCAACTAAGGTACACACCCTTGACCGGAATCGAACCCAGGACCTTTCAGTCCGCAGACCAACGCTCTATCCACTGAGCCACACCGGTTTTGGCTTAGAACTGCTTTTTAACAAGGCCTGGTTCCCAGGCCCTCAGTCCTCCCCCAGCCCGCACCCTGTACCACAAGCAGGTGACAGGAAACCCTTGGGGAGTGGGGTCAGCTGCAGAGCTCTCTGTCAGGGTCCAGGGAGCTTACAGTCAGGGTAATTTGCATAAGAAATAAGCAGTCAGTCATGAAGATAGGTCCCAAACCCTTGACCTCCAGACCTGACTTTGGTCCAAGACCCAGGGGTTAGCAGGCATCCAGGCTCTAGCCTGCAGGAGCTGGGACTGACCAGACATTTTCCCTATTTGGGATGACAGAAAAAACCCAGTGACACATTCCACATGCCAGTCCCGGGAGGGAACAGAATAGGAGAGTTGAGCGAACAAATTTGGGTGGAGACCAAATGAGTGGTTCCTGATCCCTCTGGGCCTATTAAAGGGAGATGTTGAACTAGAATAAGACCTGTTATTCTTTCTGGTTTTAACATCCTGGATTTACCTGGCCAGTGTCCTATATACCAAAAGGTAGTGGGTTTGATCTTGGTCAGGAACATACCTGGTTGCAGATTTCTCTCTCTCTCTCTCTCTCTCTCTCTCTCTCTCTCTCTCTCTCTCTCTCTCTCTCCTTTCTTTCTCTCCAAACATTTTCAGTTTAGGATTTAAAAAATACTTGATTGTTTTTGGTTGTATATGCTAATGAGATGTACATCACTTGCAAATGAGCATCCCCTAACTGGTGTTGGGACAGAAAGGCAGGAGGGACTCCTGAGAGGAGTAACACAGAAGGGGCCATTCAGAAGATTCTAACTCAAGCTACATTGGAGGCACCCAGGTCTCCTGAGCACCCAGCTCTGATAGGTTCTCACTGACTGGCCTTGAGGGCACCTGGGTGCTGAGACCCCATGGGGCAGTCTTATCTGCCCTGGACTTTCCTTTCCATCCCCACAAAGGTACAGGCCAGAATGCAGCCACTCCACGACCCTCAGCGATGAGGAAGCTGACTGGGGAACCAAATGACCCGAGAAGTTTTGTCCCAACCACCACAGTGGGACCTGGAACTGAAAAAAAAACAAAAAATCCCTCTTCTGTCTCAAGCCACTCCCTGCCCACCCCTTTCACCGCTGCCTGGCAGTGTGGCCCTGCTCAGTCCCTGGCACAGTGCCAGGAATACCGTGGGAAGATGACCAGCAGGCATTTGGGTTTACATTAACTCCATTAATTAATTCAGAAATGCATATGTTTTATCATCTGTGTAGGGGACACTATTCCAAGACGGGATAGAGAATAAAACAGAAATGCTCCTTGCCCTCACTGTGCTTTCATTTTAGTGTGTGTGTGTGTGTGTGTGTGTGTGTGCGCGCGCGCATCTGTGTAGTAGATATAAAGTAAATAGATAAACAATTGCTGATAGCACTAAGTGCTTTGAAGAGAAGAGAACAGGGTAAATATGTTTGTTGAAACAGAAGTGAGCTGGGGAAAATCATCGGGTGGTGAGGGAAGGTGTCTCTGAGGAGCTGAGACTTAACAATAAGAAGGTTTCTAGAAATAAGTACAAGTCAAAGACCCTGAGGTAGGAACAGTCTTAGCTTGATGAGGAACAGAAACCCATGGCCTCTGTGGCTAGTGGGGGGGGGCAGTAAGCGAGAGAGGGAGTGCTAGGAAATGAGGGTGAAGAGAAAACAGAACCCAGACTTGTGGCGGTCCTATATGGGCCATGGTTAGTTAGTAGTTTACATAATATCCTCCGTGTCCTGGAAACTATTGGAAGGAAGGAAGGAATGAGGTAACTATCTTTGGGCCTCAATTTCCTTATCTATAAAATGGACCAAATCAGTGTCCCCCAAATACCCACCTGCAGAAGAGCACAGGAGTCCCCTGGGGAGCTTTTAAAGGCACTGCCTCACCAGCCTCACTCCCACAGGATCCCCGTTAGGTCTGGGATGAGGGCCTGACCTTCCCAGAAGGTCAGGTGGATTTTAAGTTTGAGATCTCCTCCAATCAGTATTGCCTTTCCCTCTCTTTTTCTACTATTTACCTTTTACCCCTTCACCCCCAAAGGGTCCTCAAAAAGGTGGTAGGCTCAATCCTCAGGTTGACTATTTGAGAAGAGGTATCTTTCTCTCCCCTTGCCTCCATTCCCTGGGGCTACAGACTTGCTTTTCTGATGTCCCCTGAGTCCACCTACTGTAACATCAATCTTCTGGAAAACACCTAAGGGTTGCTGCTTTTCCCAATCCAAGCCCCACCTTCCCTGCATCCCCTCCCCACCCACCTGTCCAGCAAAGAATCAGTGGAAGGTGCTGGCCTCCGACCAGGACTGTGTGTATTCCAGGCCACGGACAAGCGGAAGGCGCTGGAGGAGACCATGGCCTTCACCACCCAGGCGCTGGCCAGCGTGGCCTACCAGGTGGGCAACCTGGCCGGGAACACAGTGCGCATGCTGGACCTGCAGGCGGCCGCTCTGCGGCAGGTGGAAGCCCGTGTGAGCACCCTGGGCCAGGTGAGGAGCGGGAGGCTTCCTGCATCCCCGCCTGGTCTCCAGCCCCACGAGGGCACTTTCCCCAGTGATATTTCCTTGCTGCCTTTTCCCACATCCAAAGGTCTGACTTTGCCACAGAAGCTTGGCAATGCCCGAGCGATTGGAACCTCCTATCTTTGTGCCTGTATCTGTGCTGGGCCTTGCTGCCCCACCAGACAGGAACTCCCTGAAGGCAAAGCTCTTTCCTTCTCTGACTCCTACCCTGTGTGGTAGGAAGCAGGTTCACCAATCACGGTGGCTGCATAGTCCAGGAAGGAGGCAAAATGGACCCTGTTTCCATCTAAACATGGGCAATCTATATAACAAAAGCCTACGCTACGACCAGAACTACCGGTCGCTATGGTGCACACTGACCACCAGGGGGGCAGATGCTCAGCACAGGAGCTTCCCCTGGTGGCCAGTGTGCTCCCACAGGGGGAGTGCGGTGCAGCCAGAAGCGGGGCCCATGGCTGGTGAGCACAGCAGCGGTGCCCATGGCTGGTGAGCACAGCAGCGGTGGCAGGAGCCTCTCCCGCCTCCGAGGCAGTGCTAAGGAACAGTGAGCCGAGGAGTAGGGAGCAGAGAGCGGGCAGGCAGTAAGGACTGAGGGGTCCCAGACTGTGAGAGGGTGCAGGCTGGGCTGAGGGACCACCCCCTACGTGCACAAATTTTGTACACTGAGCCTCTAGTAATTTTTAAAAAATATATATGTTATTGATTTTTTACAGAGAGGAAGGGAGAGGGATAGAGCTAAAACATCAATGAGAGAAACATTGACCAGCTGCCTCCTGCACACCCCCCACCAGGGATGCACCCACCACCAATGTACATGCCCTTGACCAGAATCGAACCTGGGACCCTTCAGTCCAGAGGCCGATGCTCTATCCACTGAGCCAAACTGGTGTCGGCTCTAGTAACTTAATAAATGTCCTAGACCCAGAGTGCTTGCTTGGCAAGGTCATCTTCAGCTCTGGAGGCACCGCCACCGCCCTAGTGTCCCTGCCCACCCATCCCCCCCTTCCTTCCTGGATCCTTGGCTGAGGAGTTAATTGCCCCATAAACCATAGGCACAGATTCCATCACACATCAGCCTGGCCTGTGCAACAGCCCTGGGGGAGTATCTTCCTCTCATCCTACCCTCTCCGTGCTGTAGGTTTCTCCACAAAAAAACATCCCAAGAGAGATTCATTCACTTTGGTGACCCCGCCACAGCTCCCAGCCGCCTCCGCCTTCTCCCTCTCTGCTCCTCAGCCAGCCCAGTCCCCCAACATCCCCAGGGGTGCCGTCTTCTCGGCTCCTCTGGCTCCCTGCTCGGCTAATAATAACCCCCATTCTCTCCCACCAGGAAGCTGCTCCAGAGTGGCTCCATCCTCCCAGGGCCATTCTTCCCCAATGCCTGTGGCCTCGGGGACAAAGCTCACTCTCTCCCTGGACCTCACCGCGTCCCCGCCCCCACCCCAGGGTCTCTAGCCTCTTCCTCCCTTAGGGGTAAGGGGTGCTGTGGAGCCTCCCCCTGCCCTCAGTCACCTCAAACCCCGTCGCACAGATGGTGAACATGCACATGGAGAAGGTGGCCCGGCGGGAGATTGGCACCTTGGCCACGGTCCAGCGGCTGCACCCCGGCCAGAAGATCATCGCCCCCGAGAGCCTCCCTCCCCTGGCGCCCTACTTCCGGAAACCCCTCAACTTCGGCTGCCTGGATGACATCGGCCATGGGATCAAGGTAGAGACAGGGCCCCTCCTCTTTCCACCACCTGCCCCCTGCCCCCCTTCCTGCCTCACGGCGCCCTTCGCTCCAGCCCCCACTTCTCCACGTTCCCGTCCCCACTTCCTGAAGCCAACCCCCTCCTGCAAAGCCCTCCGTGACCGGCCTTCACCCCGCACTCAGATCTGCTGAGACTGACATTTGAGCCGTGGTGCCGGCGTGGGGTGTGTGTGTGTGTGTGTGTGTGTGTGTGTGTGAAGGGCGAGAGGAGGAAGGGCGGGTGGCGGGGTGTGCATGAGAATGGCTCCCCCCCACATGAGAACAGCGACTTCCTCTGTCTGGAGGTTTGAGGTCAGGCACCGAGAAGTCGCCCCACAGCCACTGTTGGGCGAGAAGGGGCAGGGATGCAGCCGCTGGGGGGGGGGGGGCATGGAGAAGACAGGGGAATGGGACTCGCATTTTCTTCTCGGCCCATCTAATGGTGGGGGGAGAGGGGGAGAGGACACCCCCCTACCCCATTGGACCAATCCCTGGCCCCACACCCCAGCATCCCAGGTTAGATGAAAGCCCCTCTGTACCTAAATGGCTCCTCCTCCTTCTCCTCCTCCTCTCATATCCTGAACATGCCTTGCCCTCAGAAAGGGGGAGCAAAGTCTCTCCTGCAGGTGCCAGCCCCCCCCCCCCCACACCTGCTGCCCAACCTAAATGCTTCAGGATTCGGCCCACGTCCCTGTGTCTTGACCCCGTGAAGTGGAGAAGCGGATGGCGCTCCCTGTACCCTCTCCCCAATAGAGGGGCTCTCCGGCGTGGGCTTGCACCTTATCATGGGTACACCCCGCTCTGCACGGTCTGCTCCTCTCTGCCCCCAACTCCCGGAGCCAGTGCCACAGGCCTAAGGACGGTCCCGCTCTCCCGCCTCCCTCAGCACCACGCCCAGGCTGGGGTCTCTGAGTCAGGAGCCACCAGGCCGGGCGCTGGGTCGCTGTGGGAGGGGGTGATGGGCCCCCGGGCTGCGGAGGCCGCGCAGAGGAAGTGGCCTGCAGACTGTGCTGAGGTTTCCGTGGGGCTGCGGCAGACTGGGCGACGGGCCGTGAGCGAGGGGGTGGGGAGGGGTGAGAGGGGGTGGGGAGGGTAGGGAGGGGTAGTGGGGTGGGGTGAGAGGGGGTGGGGTGGGCTGGGAAGTGGAAGTGGGAACTTGCAGGGCCTCGCTCTTCCTCCCGGTCCTTGCCCGCCCCTCTCTCCTCTCCCGTCCCCCTCTCCCCTCTCCCCTCCCCCCGGGGGCTGAGGGAGCTGGAAGTGGAGGTAGGTGGTGGCAGGAGACTCAGTGTCAGCCCAGCCCCGTTTCCCCGCAGGATCTGAGCACCCAGCTGTCGAGGACCGGGACTCTGTCACGAAAGAGCATCAAGGCGCCTGCCACACCCACCTCTGCGGCTCTGGGGTGAGGCCTCCCCGGACCCAACCGGGTCTCACATGATCCCCCTTCCCCTCCATGCCCCCTCCCCCTGCACTGACCACCCCCCCCTCCCCCAGGCGCTCGCCCCGGATCCCGGAGCCCGTGCAGCTCCCGGTGGTGCCCGATGGCAGGCTCTCCGCCGCCTCCTCCGCCTCCTCCCTGGCCTCTGCTGGGTGAGTCCCCCAAGGGGCCTCCTGCCAGCCGTCACCACGACTACTGCGGTCACAGGGCAGGGCCAGCTGGGGAAGGGGTCCCCTAAACCGAAGGACCCCGCTTTCTCTGACCTCCAGCAGCGCTGACGGTGCCGGAGGGGCCTCCACGCCCAAGGGGCAGGCAGCACCCCCGCCCCCTCCGCTCCCCAGCTCCACGGCCCCACCCGCTCCGCCGGCCTCCGACGGCGGCGGCCTGCCGCCCCCTCTGGGTAAGGGACTCCGCCCTCCCCTCCCAGCTCAGCTGTGGGGTCCCCGTCTCACCGCCCTGCACCCTCCCCACCCCTCCCGGACCGGACCGGCCCACCCCGGTGAGAGGAGGGAGGAGGCGGAGGGGAACCAGTTTAGGGCCCGCTTTGTACCAACGGAAGCTTCTCACCCATTTTCTCACTTAACTCTGACCCTGAGAGGATGTCACACCTGGTCTAACAGGCGGCGCTGAGGGTGGAAGGTTAGGGGAGTAAGCGGCAGGCTGCCTGCCCCACGCGGGGAGAAGGCTCAGGTTCACTGAGACCTTCTCCGTGCTGGAGGCGCTGTGGGAGGACCAGGATGGGCAAGGGCTGGAGGAAGGGATCATAAGCCGGGCAGACCCCGGTGCCCTCCTCGTGGGCAGCAGTGTCCTGGGGTGAGTGGAGGGGAGGGGGTGCCCGGCGCCACACCGCAGACCTTTTCCCTCCCAGCCCCAGAGCTGCCCCCTCCGCCCCTGGACCTGCCCCCTCCGCCAGTCCTGGACGCGGAGGAACTGGAACTGCCGCCCCCTCCTCCACCGGGCTTTGGGCCCGAGGAGCCCAGCTGGGCCCCTGCCTCGTACTTGGAGAAAGGTAGGTGCCTCTCTGGGCCTGGAGGACACCCGGTCCCGCCACCGGGGCTCCCACTCTCCCCCAGAGGCATTCTGGGTCTCCCGTCAACCCCCCCAGGTCCCCCCCCCCCCCAATTTCCTGGTGAACGGAGCAGATGTTTACCCAGCTGGGAAGGCAGCAGCTGGCCTGCACTGTGCACTGGGCCAGGGAAGGGTCCGGTCCTCAGGGCTTGGGAGAAGGCACCCCTGGCCCCACCGCTCGCACCCAGAACCACGCAGGCCCCTGTCACCGCGGCTGGCAGGAGGTGGCTCTCAGGGCGCCTCTCCGCCCACAGTGGTCACGCTGTACCCGTACGCCGGCCAGAAGGACAACGAGCTCTCCTTCCCGGAGGGCACGGTCATCTGCATCACCCGCCGCTACTCCGACGGCTGGTGCGAGGGCGTCACCGCGGAGGGCGCCGGCTTCTTCCCGGGCAACTACGTGGCGCCCAGCTGCTGACAGACAGCCCGGCTCCTCTCCGCGGGAGCTCCGAGGCCAAGCCAGGCTGGACTGAGGGGGGCCCGGAGGCCTGCTGCCGGCAGGAGAGAACCGGAAGCCAAGGCATTTGGTGACCCCGTCCACGCGGAGGTCCCTATCCCATGGAGGGGGGTCTCCAGCTGCAAGTGGCAACTTTAAATAAAATTGATGAACTCCTGATGACTACCCTGGAGGGCTGGGGGCAGAATGGGGGAGCATTTCAGTTCTAAGGCTCCTAATTATCAAGTCCCCTGATACCCCCTGCAGAGGGACCGCACCCCGTGCTTTGCCTGCTCTGCATTCAGCCTGGATTCCTCAAGCTGGGGTCCAGCCCTAGCTGGCGTGGCTCAGTGGATAGAGCGTCGGCCTGCAGCTGAAGGGTTCCGGGTTCAATTCCGGTCAAGGGCTCAATCCCCAGTGTGAGGCATGCAGGAAGGAAGCTGATCCATGATTCTCGGTCATCATGCATCTTTCCTCCTTTGCTCTCTCTAGTCAATAAAAATTAAAAAAAAAGGTGGGACCAACCCCTCACATAAGTGGGGCTCCCTAAGAGCAGAGACCGCCTTCCCCTCCCTCTTTCTCCCACCCCCCCCTCCGATTGCAGCGCCAGAGATCTCAGTGACTCCTCCTTCACCTGCTTTAATAGCTCTAACACACCAAAGAGGAGGGGCTTGGGGTTCGCTGGCTCTGCTTTAAAACATCATGGCTTTCTGTTCCATAGGAGAGGAGGGGGCCGCGCAGGGCCCCGCCCACGGGGGTGGCTTTGGTTGTCCCTGATCTTGTTGCGTAGACGAGGCTGGGGTATGCGAAGACACCGAGGCAGGCACTGCTGCGAGATTCCCGGCTGCTCCAACCCGAGCCGGACAGTGTGCTACCTCGTTCCACCACCAGGAGGCGACTGTTCCATCTGGCTTTTCTTCCTTTGGGGCCACTGGTCGGATGGGCGAGGAAGGGAGGCAAGAAAAGGGATGTATATAGTGTGGGATCGCGGTAGGCAAAGCGAGACCTAGGCCTGGGGCTGCGGGGGAAAGCTTCCCCTTTTTCCGCGGGGAGTCCAATGCGGGAGGCTTTCTTGACCGAAGGATGGGAGTGGGGCGGTTACGGGCCCGGCGGCAGCTTAACGTTCTCTCGCCTGCAAGGGAGCCTCTTCCTCCCAGGCCAGAGGACGGATGAGCTTTTAGGAATCGCGGCTGCCGCCTTCCCGGGAACGCGCATCCCCCTGGGTTGGGGCCTCCCCCAGAACTGAACTGCATGGATAGTTGGGATGCTCTGCACTCCCTCCTTCAGCTTCCCGAATGGATGGGCCTGCAGTTTCTGGAAATTCCAAGGGTGTGTGTGTGGGGGCGGGGAGGACATACCAAAGCGAAAGGGCAAGGAAGTTACAAAACTATAGATTTGTCTTTCCCGATAGTTCTCCCTTCCCCACGCCTCGCCGGGGCGCCCCCTGCTGGCGGCCGCCTCAGCTCGCCTTGAGCACCTGCTGCAGGTGCTGGCGGATGTCGTGCGCGGTCTCCCAGGGCACCACGGTGGCGCGGAAGGAGCCGGGCTCGGCCTTCTGCGCCTCCTGGATGAGGCGGTGCATGGGGTAGCCGCGGCGCGGGAAGGCCACGTCGCCGCTGGCCAGCAGCCCCGCGGGGCAGAAGTCGTTGCTGCCGTCGCCCACGTAGAAGAGGCGCTCGAAGTGCACGCCGTCGCGCGCGCGCTCGCGCAGGTAGTCGCCGAGCACCTTGTGTTTGCACATGTTGCTGGGGCAGCGCGCGCAGCCGTGCTGGGCGTGGAAGGGCCGCAGCGCCAGCAGCCCGCGCGCGTCGGGCGCGGCCGGGTTGCTGAAGACGCGGCGGAAGAGGCCCAGGTGGCCGGCGGCGCGCAGCGCGCTCTCCACGCCGAACGTGTTGGCGTCCGAGATGAGGATGACCTCGAAGCAGGCGCCCTGCCTGGCCACGAACTGCAGCAGGTCGCCCATGCCCGGCGACAGCGGGATGGCCTCGTAGACGGCGCGCAGGTCCCGCGGCCGCACGCCCTGCTCGCCCAGGTACTGGAACACGCGCTGCATGAACTCGTTGTAGAAGCCCTCGCGGTAGGTGGCGCGCAGCCCCTCCGGCAGCCGCTGGCCCGGCGCCGCGCGCTCGATCCAGTCGTCGCTGTTCTCGTCCACGATCGTCTCGTCGAAGTCGAAGGTCAGGAGGAAGCGCGGCGCGCCCTGCGCGGCCATCCCGCCGCCGCCCTGGGAGCAGGAGGGGGAAGAGCAGCAGGAGGAGGAGGAGGAGGGGGCAAGCGAAAGCGGGCGCGGCGGGCGCCGGCCCGGGACAGGCTGGTTAGCGGGCCTCGGCCAGGGGCGCGGGCACATCCAAGACCTGAAGGAGGACCCAAGGCTGGTTAAGCGGGAGGAGCGCCCCACGCCGCGGCCCCCAGCTCCACCCTCCACCCCGGCTCCCTGCCCACCCGCTCCTGGCACCTCTGAGCGAACTGGGGTTTAGCCTCAGAGGACCAGCCTCCTCTGGAGCCCAGAAGGGCTTCCTTGGCACCTGTGTCTGCTCCTCTTATCCGGGGGGCGTTGGGACTTCAGCTTGGAAAAGGGGACACCCTCTGAGGCTTCTGGACTAGACTTTCTAGAAACTTCTGAGCCCAGTTGTTGCTGTGGAACCAGGGAGGGCGGAGGGGACTCCACGCTTTTCTTCCCTAACAAAGCGTCTGGGAAACCGCCCGCTCACTCAGAGGGAACAGCCCCTACAACGGTCTCTGGGCCGATGGCCGTGGACTGTGGTGGGCACGAAGGAGCTGGTCTCTGGGGAAGACTCGCTGACACCATGCAGAGCACGGGGATGGCTCATGCCAGACCTCGGGCCCGGGTAGCCGCGCCGGGCCTCGGCACCGGCCGGGGAGCAAGGTTTCAGCTCAGAACAACCCGCGAGGCTGAGGATCAGGCAGGCTCTCTGGGAGCGGCTTCCAGCCAGATGGCTCTGGGCAGGGGTCCAGGGACGGGACTCAGCTTTTCCAGGGAGTGTTAGGGGCCTGTGCTCGTCACTAGTCACTTGCCAGTTCCCCGGAAGGACGGTGTCAGCGGGCGGGGTTCGTGCCAGAGTCCGAAGCAAGCGAGCGGCAGAAGCATTGGGGCTTGGGGAGGTGGAGGCCCGCGCCAGGCCGCGGCACACCTGAGTCAGGTAAGGGGGAGAGAGGTGAGGAAGGGAGTGGGGACACGGGGGTAGGAGGCAGCGGTGGGGGAAAGGGGACGAGGAGGAAGTAATGATGGGGGAGCGTGGAGGCAGACTGGACAGGAAGACAGAGTGCGGGTGGGGGTGAGGAGCTCCAGGAAGTGGAGACAGAGGACATGGGAGAGGATGGAGACAACAGGGCCAGTGCGAGGGCACAGGGAAAGGCGGACAAAGGAAGGCAGAAGCCCTGGCAGCCAGTCCCTGCCTCCTTCCAGCCTCCACCATCAGTCCAGGTGGAACCTCCCCTCTTTCTGGTGTCTTCCTAACACCCGAAGGTTTCTGGGATGCTCATGGCCTGGGGCACCTTGTGACACAGGAGGCTAGGCTCCTCATGTCAGAGCTGGGATTCGAACCCGGCTCTCTGCCTCCCTAACGTAGCTGTCCTTTAGACCTCATCCTAGGGCCACCCGCTGGTCTCGGCAACATCCGCCCGGGAGTCTCCGTGGTCCAGGATCTTTGCAGTTGAGGATGTAAAGCATCAGGAGCCCTCGACTGGGATGGAAGCTTCTAGGGATCAGAGGCCCAGTAGAGGCGAGGGCAAGCCTAAAGGGGGCCACCCCATGAGGGAAACATGGACGCTGAGGCCTTCCCCTAAGAGACCTCTAGGGGGGACCCACTTACCTTAGACAGGCACCGCAGGCCGGCCGCGGGAAAACACCCGCTCATTGTTGGCGCACCCCCCGAAGGCACTGCTGGGCACTGAGTCGTCGTCCAGAGCTCCTGCCAACCACACAGGGTCCGTGTGAGGTGCCCGGGCGGCTGGCTTTGTTCCCCCACTACTACTACCAGCCTTATCCCCGCGGGGGGCCCCAGGAGCTCAGTGACAACCCCTCAGCTGGGCAGCGTGCTTCCGGAGCACAAAGCCTTGCAAGGCATCCTCTTAGCAAACTGCTAGGATGCAGGAGCGGTTATATTAATAGATGATAGCGTTGGAGACCCCAGAAAAGGGAACTGGCTTGCTCAAAGGTCACCACTGTAAACGGCCAAACCAGATCTGAGCCCTGGCTGGTGTTGCTCCGTGGTTAGAGCATCAGCACCCACACCAAAGGGTCGAGGGTTTGATTCCCGGTCAAGGGCATGCACCTGGGTTGCAGGTTCCATCCCCGGCCCTGGTCAGAGCGAGGTTGGGAGGCAGTGGATTATGTCTGTCTCCCTCCCTCCCTTTCACCCTCAAAAAAAAAAAAAAATCAATGGGAAAAATATCTTCAGGTGAGGACTATCAACAGCACCAAAAACAGATCTGACTCTTGAGACCAGTGCTTTTTTTTCTCTATATAATCCTTGTCCCTCTGAGTACGGTACAACATAGTTCACAGATCACCTTCACTCATATTGTCTCACTGCTCATCAGTGTCATGAACTCAGCAGATGGGAAAGGCTCACAGAGGGTAGATACCTTGCCCAGGGCCATGCTGGTCCCAGGGGCAGAGCCTGGATCAGGAGCACCTGGCCACAGCCTTGCCTGCCCTCTGTCCTCCCAAGGGAAGGGGAAGGTGACCGGGCCTTCTGCACCACAGCTGGGGGGCAGAGACCCCCTGGCACTGCAGGTGATCGGGGCCTGGAGAGTCAGATTCACATTTCCGCTGGACTTTGCCATGTAGTTTTGGGGACAGGCCTTTACTGACATGGCTATAAAGGACACCACCTGCGGCTCCCAGCACGCTTCTCTACCCCTGGTCCCATCCACCCTGGGGTTGAATAAGAGGCCAGAGGCATCTGGGACAGATCTGGAAGGACACAGAGAGCCAGGAAGACTAGACTAGGAGCAGGGGCCTGGCTGGCTGCTGCCCTCTGGTGGTGACAATGGGTGACACTGGAAACACCTCTGCCTGTCAAGGTGACACTCTCCTCAGACCATCCCAGGGTAACAGGGACAAGTTATTTCCCCCCAAGACAGAGACTGGGACATCCCAGGAGCAGGGCTTCGGTCAGAGGGAGGGTACCACACAGGCATGAAACCCTTTTCTCTAGGAACTTTTAATCTAGGAACTGGGTGCGGTGGTCAAAGCTAAATGGGCAGTGGGCAAAAGGAGGAGGGAGTGTGAGGAGACAAGGCGGAGGTGATGGGAGGGAGGTACAGGGAGGAGGAATTGATAGGAGGGAGGTACAGGGAGGAGGAATTGATAGGAGAGGGTTACAGGGAGGAGAAATTAACAGGTTTTGGAGGGTGGGAGTTCTCCCTTGGCCTTATCTGGAGGGAGTTCCAGCTTTCAGAATCCCAGCTAATCCTTTTACCTCCTAGAAAAGGGTCTCCTCACTTTGCCTTTACCTTTTTATAATTTGGTGGAGCATTCTACTGATCTAACCATCCTCAAAACTTCTCATTTCTTATAGTAAAAGACAGTTTACTTTTGCCCTAGCTGGTTTGACTCAATGGTTTGGCTGTCTTCCTGCCTCTCCAGCAGACAGTATGGCGACCCAGCCGGCTCCCAGCTTGAAATCTCTGTGCCTTCTCTATTTCTAATATTTCTCAATTCCTGGCCGCCTCCACTTAGAACCAGTTCATTCATCTCTCTTTCCATGCGGGACTCGGAAAAGGGAGATCCCCGCCGCATCAGGCCCCCGCAAATAATGGTATTTAGGGAAATCCGTTAAAAATTTATTATTTTTGCCCTCGTTTCTTTTAGTCCCCAGAGCAGAAAGCCAGGCATCCTGGGTTTCTTCCCCTGGAAACAGAGAAAGCTATACTGTGACCCCCCCCCCCCCCCCCAGCCCTGGCCCGGCCCCACAGGAGTCAGAGCGGCCCTGGGCCCCCCTGGAATCTGGCTCCCACAATGTTCATGTCACTCACCTCTAGAGCAGCTTTGTCCTGGATGATCAAATCATTTTGTGTCGCCCAGAAGAGTTCCTCAAATCAAAGCGGCACAGGATTGAGCTCCTCTGGCAGGCTAGAGCAGAGAGAGAGGGAGAGAGAGAGGCTTCTTCAGGGCGACAGGGAGTCAGACCATAGCTAGTCCCAGCTAAAAGCGGTGCCTGGCCCTAGCCGATTTGGCTCAATGGATAGAGCGTCAGCCTTTGGACTGAAGGGTCCCAGGTTTGATTCCTATCAAGGGTGCAGGAGGCAGCCGATCAAATGCTTTGGCTCAGCAGAGAGCTTCGGCCTACGGACCGAAGGGTCCCTGGTTCGATTCCTGTCAAAGACACATACCTGGGTTGTAGGCTCCTCCCTGGCACCTTGGTCGGGGCTTGTGCAGGAGGCTTGTTCCTCTCACACTGAGATTTCTCTCAGTCAGTCTCTCTCTCTCTCTGCCACTCTCCTTATAAATCAATGGTAAAATAGCCTCAGGTGAGGATTAACAGAAACTCACAAACAAAAAACAATGGAAACCTAACCACAACAAAAAAGATCAGGTCTCCTGTATTAGTCACTAGAAATCAGATTAACAACAAAAAGGTCAGGTCTCCTTGTATTAATCACTAAAAATCAGATTCGGATTAACAACAACAAAAGACCAGGTTTCCTTGTATCCATCACCAGAATTCAGACTCAGGCACTAGGTGGGGATTCTTCCCCTCCCCCAGACACTGCCACCAGCAGCAAATGGGAAAAACAGGCCACAAGAGGCCAGTCAAGCGCCGAAACCGGTTTGGCTCAGTGGTGGAGCGTCGGTCTGCGGACTGAAAGGTCCCAGGTTCGATTCCGGTCAAGGGCATGTACGTTGGTTGCGGGCACATCCCAGGAGGGGGTATGTAGGAGGCAGCTGGTCGATGTTTCTCTCTCATCGACATTTCTAGCTCTCTATCTCCCTTCCTCTCTGTAAAAAAATCAATAAAATATATTAAAAAAAAAAAAAAAAAAAAGAGGCCAGTCAAGCTAACATCTGGGGCCACACAATACCAGAACCAGGGTTAGAACTCAGGGGACCCTGGTGCCACTTGCATTCAGAATTGCAGGGTTTAAGACTGTGGGGCCCTAGCGGGGGGCCCTAGCTGGGTTGGCTCAGTGGGTGGAGCACAGGCCTGCGGACTGAAGGTTCCCGGTTGGGTTCTGGTGCCTGAGTTGCTGGTGCGGGAGGCCACCCATCGACGTGTCTCTTTCACATCGGTGTTTCTCTCTCCCTTCCACTGTCTGAAAACCCCTGGGTGAGGACTTTTACCAACAACATTGCAGCCGGATGCCGGGCTAGTGTGGCTCAGTGGCCGGGCGTGGACCCATGAACCAAAAGGCCACTGGTTAGATTCCTGTGCAGGGCACACGCCTGGGTCGTCCTCTGGGTCTCCAGTAGGGGGCGTGCAGGAGGCAGCCAATAGGTGATACTTCTCTCTCCTATCTCTCCCTCTCCCTCTCTCTCTAAAAGTCAATAAGAACCATATATATTAAAATTGCGCCCCGGATCACCCCCCTTCCCCCCCGTGGTCTCTGAGCTTGCTGCCTTGCCCAGCGGGAGGCGGTGACCCGGGCCCCGGTGCCAGGGAGGACGCGGGGACCTGGCGTCACCTCTGGGCTTGCCCTGCGGGGAGGGGATCCTCACTGGGCAGGCAGGGAGGCGGCAGCTGCCGGGGGGACGGGGTGGGGGGAGAGATATTTTTAGAGGTGCTGCCAGGCAGGCACGCTGGCACCCCCCCAGCTGGCGGGCTCTCCCCTCCACTGCGGGCGGAGGGTGCGCAGCCCGGAGCGCCCAGGGGGCTGGCGGGCGGCGGGGAGCGCGGGGCACCGGCTCTTTCGCTTTGGCCGAGCCGGGGACGGCGGGTCCACCCGGGCATCGCAGCGCGTTCCGGGGCAGGGGAAAGCGGGGGGGGCATTCCTCTGTCCCGGGGACTCCCCCGCCGACACCCGCGGGAAGGAGCGCTGCCCTCAAACTCTCCACGGCCCCCCACTCCGCACCCGGACCCCAGCCCCCGGGGGGACCCGGACTCACGCGCGGAGCGGCGGCGGCAGGAGTCTGTCCCGGCTGAGTTTGGAGCGCGGAGAGTGGAGAGGGGGCTCGCGGAGATTATTGGGGCGCAGGATGGAGCCGGGGGTGCGTTTACGGGAATGGGGGGGGGGGGACGGGACGCGGTGTCTTGCCCGCCCTCGGATCTCGGGGCCCCGGCTCACGAGTGCCTCCGGTGCGGAGGGGCCGCGGAGGATGTGCGTGTGGGCCGTCCCCTCCACCTGCCTTCCATCCCCCCCGCCCGGCCGCCGCGCGTCCCCTTTAAGTGCCCGCGAGCCCGAGCCGGGGCCGCGCTGGCCCTGCGGCTGCCGCAGCGGCGGGGCCCGCAGTCCCCGACGTCACAAGCGGCCGTCCAATCAGCGCGGCGCCGGCGCACATGAAAGGGGCGGGCCCCGCCCCCCGCGGCCCCGAGGCTCCGGGAGCGCCCGCGTGGGTGGGACCGGGTGCCGCGGGGCAGGGCAGGGGCGTGGGTGGGAGTGGACGCCGGGTCCCGCGTGAGTCCCGCCCACAGGCCCCGGGTGCCAAGGCTGCGGACTTGCCGCTGCTGCCGCCGCCCCGGGCTCTGGCCCCCGGGATGTGCAGAGATGCACCCCCACCTCCAGCTCTCACGGGGCTCCAACCCCTCAGCCCAGGGGTGGGCACGCGTGGACCCAGCTTGTGGAAGGCAGTTCCCGTGTTACTCTCGCAGGTGCGTGTAGCCAGGGGCCCTCTGCCCCCACGTGGAGCCACGGCACCCCATTCCCGCCCTGGGACCCTCCCCCGGCTACAGGCTACGGATAGGGGGGACCCAGG